ATTTATTGGATAACTGCCCCACTGACTCGGCTCAGAGGCCGTTGGCTTAGTTACCCAACAGTTTGTGGGCATCTTGAGAAACTAAACCAAACCATTCTCGTGATGAAAAAGTGCCCCAGCAAGGATGCATTAACAGGGGAGCAAAAAGTAGACCACAAAGTACAAACCGAAGCATCAAGTTTTCTGTAATCGGCCCTCCAGCGTTACCCAATAAGACCAAAATGCTTAAATCGCGATTTTCTCTTCTTGAAAACCTACTGTGACATCCAGCTTGGCCATTCCATTTTCGAAACAATCACTTTCCTCCAGAATATTCACAAATTTCGGTCAGCCACCGCCTGGTTCAGTTACCCAAATGCTCAAAATGGCTAAATCGCGATTTTCTTTTTTTAAAAATCTACTGTGACATCCAGTTTGGCCATTCCTTGCTTAAAATAATCATTTTCCTCCAGAATATGCCCAATTTCGGTCAGTCGCTGCTCGGTTGAATTACCCAAAAAGGCCAAAATGCTTAAATCACAATTTTTTCTTCTTGAAAACCTACTGTGACATCCAGTTTGGCCATTCCATTTTTGAAACAATCACTTTAAAACAAACAAACAAACCAGCCGCCACCCTCCACCCCGGTTCAATTACCCAATATTGTCAAAATCGAATCGGTTCTCAATTTTTCCTGTTTTATCTCATAGTGTGCGTTCCAGATCAGATAAAAAGTATGGAAATTATTCGAATTTCCTTTGAAAATCGGGATTTCAGGGCTTGGTCTCGGTTTAGTTACCCATTTGGTAACTAAATCAGCCAAAAAAAGGGTCAAAGGTTGGGTATTTGACGTAAAAATGAGAAAAACAGAAAGAAAAGAAGAAAAGAGATTTAACAGGTACATGTGTTTGGCAAGAAAGGGGGAGGGGGAGGAAAGGAAGAAGAAAAAGAAAGAGAGCGGCTGAGTGGTGTCTGTGATTGATTCGAGTACCCGAACACTGTCTTTTCCCGACAAAAAATCCCCAAATTTTTCCGTCATTTTCTTCGTTTTCCTGTCTTTTCCTTTATATTTCGACTAATTCTCTTTTTCTCTAAATTTTTCGGTCAAAAATTGCACCAAAACTTCCCCAGCTTATTTTCTCGTGTATTTCCCAGTTAACAGGGATTTTTTCACGCAAAAACACCCCATCTGGAAGTCACACTTTCATTTGAGTGCACCAGATTGCAGGCGTTTGCAATTTTTCCTTAGCTTACTATTTGCTTCAGTGTACTTTGTGCGTTCTCTGTGCTCTCGCGTAAACGCTCGCCTTCTGGCACACCAATTTTTTTCATTAAATTTGCCTTCTGGCATACCAAATTTTTCCGTCATTTTCTTTGTTTTCCTGTCTTTTCCTTTATATTTCGACTAATTCTCTTTTTTCGGTCAAAAATTGCACCAAAACTTTCCCAGCTTATTTTCTCGTGTATTTCCCAGTTAACAGGGATTTTTTCACGCAAAAACACCCCATCTGGAAGTCACACTTTCGTTTGAGTGCACCAGATTGAATGCGTTTGCAATTTTTCCTTAGCTTGCTATTTGCTTGAGTGTACTTTGTGTGTACTTTGTGCTCTGTTCTAAACGCTCGCCTTCTGGCACATCAAATTTTTCTCGAAATTTGCCGTCTGGCACACCAAATTTTTTCAAGTCTCACCGGTTACTCAAAAAAAAGCTCTTTTTCTCTTTTATTTTGTGAAAACGAATTGCAGACCTATTTTCAACTTCCCGGCAAAAAAGCTCAAAAAATGAGGTGTGAACTCGTGTTATCTCTCGTAAACCATTTCCCCCGTCTTTTCCAGCCAATAAACCTTCTCACCTTTCTTTTATGAGTCTTATTTTCAAGTCTTCCAAATAATTCAGCCTTTTCAGATCAAGTTTTTTGAAATTTCTTCTAATAAAACTCGAGTTTTATAACTAAACCGAGATCAAGCCCTGAAATCCCGATTTTCAAAGGAAATTCGAAGAATTTCCATACTTTTTATCTGATCTGGAACGCACACTATGAGATAGAAATGGCAAAATTGAAAACCGATTCGATTTTGACATTATTGGGTAACTGAACCGGGGTGGAGGGTGACGGCTGGTTTGTTTGTTTGTTTCAAAGTGATTGTTTCGAAAATGGAATGGCCAAGCTGGATGTCACAGGAGGTTTCTAGAAAGAGAAAATTGTGATTTAGCCATTTTGAGCATTTGGGTAATTGAACCGGACAGTGGCTGACTGAAATTTGTGCATATTCTGGAGGAAAGTGATTGTTTCAAAAATGGAATGGCCAAGCTGGATGTCACAGTAGATTTTTAAAAAGAGAAAATCACGATTTAAGCATTTTGGGCCTATTGGGTCACGCCAGATCTCGGTTCAGTTACCCAATTTCGCTAAATCGAATCGGTTCTCAATTTTGCCAGTTTTATCTCATAGTGTGCGTTCCAGATGAGATAAAAACTATGGAAATCATTCGAATTTCCTTTGAGAATCGGGATTTCAGGGCTTGATCTCGGTTAGTTACCGAATTTCTTCAAAATCTCTCTCAGAATCGGCGGTTTTTGGTTAAAATTTGTAGCCTAGGGTTTCTCGATATAGAGATTGGGATTGGGCACAGTTTTAAAGTCAATTTTAGGGTCAATTTTAGGGTCAATTTTAGGGTCAATTTTTGTATCAATTTTGGTATCAATTTTTATATCAATTGCCGTTTACTGAAGCCTCTCGCTATCATTTACTGAATTTACTAAAAAAGCTTTTCTAAAGCCGTTAAAAAGGGTCCAATTTAATCGATATTTGATAGGGAAAAGAGGGAAAAAGGTTTGCATTCGGATCTCTTTTATTTCTCTTCTTTTTCTTTTCCTTTTTCTTTTCCTTTTTCTTTTCTTTTTCCTTTTCGATTTGCCCCAAGGCGACAAAAAGTCTGTTTTCTGAAAGGGAAAAGATTGATTGATTGAGGGGAAAAGACGGAAATTTTAGGCCTTTCATTGCAAAGGAAAAACAGAATTTGGTGGCTTTTGTGGATTTTGTGCTTTTGTGGCTTTTGTGGCTTTTGTAAAGGTAAAAAGAGGGATTCCAGATTCCACTGAAATCTCTGGAATCTCTGGAATCCCTCTTTTCCATCAGCGCTTCGATTTTCGTTGATTTTCGTTGATTTTCGTTGATTTTAGTTCATTTTCCTTCATTTTGGTTCATTTTGGTTCATTTTCGTTGATTTTGGTTGATTTTGGTTGATTTTGGTTCATTTTCCATCATTTCCATTCATTTCCATTAATTTCTATTCATTTTCCAACCAAAAATCACCAAAATCTAAGTCCATTAGGACAAAATTAAGCTAAAAACCTAGCAAAAAGCCTTCTGACCTTTTCTCCTTCAAAGATTCATTTGATTTGTTAGAAACTAGACTCAGAGCTGGCTTTGGCCTAGCCTCTAAAGCTGACCAGTTTGCAGACTAGCCGACTAGTTTGCAGACTAGCCGACTAGTTTGCAGCCCTAGTCTTGACCTGGCTTCGGGACAGATTTGAGCTTGATTCTGCTCTGATCTCGCTCGCTAAGAGTAAGGTTTTATCTTGGGAAGTAAATTATTTCATTATTTCATTATTTCATTGCCAGCTTTCCAAAAATCACCGCTTTCAGCTTGATAAATTGCTTTTGCTGAGCCGGAAACCGTTGCAAAACCGGCTTTTTACCGGAAATCAAATCCAGGCATTCATTCAAATCCAGCAATCCAGCAAAACCAGGCATTCACTGAAATGAAATACTAAACTTATAACTAGTAAAGCTTTAAAAAGCTTTATCAGAAATTGTGCTGTGACATCCAGCTTGGCCATTCCTTGCTTAAAATAATCACTTTCCTCCAGAATATTCACTAATTTCGATCAGCCACTGTCCGGTTCAATTACCCAATCAGGCCAAAATGCTTAAATCACAATTTTCTCTTTTTAAAAACCTACTGTGACATCCAGTTTGGTCATTCCATTTTTGAAACAATCACTTTCCTCCAGAATATTCACAAATCTCAGTCAGCCACTGTCCGGTTCAGTTACCCAAATGCTCAAAATGCATAAATCACAATTTTCTTTTTTTGAAAACCTACTGTGACATCCAGTTTGGCCATTCCTTGCTTAAAATAATCATTTTCCTCCAGAATATTCACAAATTTCAGTCAGCCACTGTCCGGTTCAGTTACCCAAATGCTCAAAATGCATAAATCACAATTTTCTTTTTTTGAAAACCTACTGTGACATCCAGTTTGGCCATTCCTTGCTTAAAACAATCACTTTCCGCTAGAATATTCACAAATCTCAGTCAGCCACTGTCCGGTTCAGTTACCCAATAAGGCCAAAATGCTTAAATCGTGATTTTCTCTTTTTAAAAATCTACTGTGACATCCAGCTTGGCCATTCCATTTTTGAAACAATCACTTTCCTCCAGAATATTCACAAATTTCAGTCAGCCACTGTCCGGTTCAGTTACCCAAATGCTCAAAATGCTTAAATCACAATTTTCTCTTTTTAAAAACCTACTGTGACATCCAGTTTGGCCATTTTGTGTTATCAATTTTCTGTTAGCAATGTGGATTTGATTGCTATTGTATTGTACAGTTAAAAAGCTTCAACTTATCAGTATCATTTGTGAATCATTTCCTTCTTTTTTCTTTTCGCGTCAATGATTCATTCAAAGACGCGTGTGTGTCTGAAAAAGCCGAAAAAGAGATTGATCAGCTAGAGAATTTAGAATTTATTCATTTTCCGACTCATTTTTTTAATAATATTGATTATAATAATGAAATTATTATAGTTTTTATAAATTGTAGTTTTATTCTATTTAAAATTCTTTCTGTGTTCTCTCTGTGTTCTCTCTGTGTTCTCTCTCTGTGTGTGGTCATTTTTCTCGTAAACGAGCCGCTTCTGGTGCACAGAGCTTCTATAAAAGTCTATAAAAGCTTGATTAAACATTCTTTATTCCCATATAATCTATTTTCAAATATCAATTATCCTTTTCCAGATCTTCACAGCGAATTCTTGGACAGTCGCTCGGTGGTCGTCTATTTAGTGTCTTTGTATTTGACGCTACAAGGGAAAAGTGAAGAACAGAGGCAAATCCAAGGACAACGAGTGACTGGGCCAGCTTTTGGACAAGTACGTTTTGAAATAGATACTTAGAACATAGGCCAAAGCTATGACAGGCTGAATCAAGGCCAAGCCAAGCCCTGACCAGCTATGACAGCCTGGATCAAGGCCACGCCAAGCCCTGGCCAGCTAGGACAGGCTGGGTCAAGGCCAAGCCAAGCCCAGACTCAGCTAGGACAGGCTGAGTCAAGACCAAGCCAAGCCCAGGCCCAGCTATGACAGGCTGAGTCAAGGCCAAGCCAAGCCCAGACCCAGTTATGACAGGCTGAGTCAAGACCAAGCCAAGCCCAGGCCCAGCTATGACAGGCTGAGTCAAGGCCAAGCCAAGCCCAGACCCAGTTATGACAGGCTGAGTCAAGACCAAGCCAAGCCCAGGCCCAGCTATGACAGGCTGAGTCAAGACCAAGCCAAGCCCAGGCCCAGCTATGACAGGCTGGGTCAAGACCAAGCCAAGCCCAGGCCCAGCTATGATAGGCTGGATCAAAGCCAAGCCAAGCTCTGCGTTGGAGTACCAAGGACCAGCCCACGTCCGCTTACTGTACGATTACTGTACTTGAGTGGTTTATTAGACTATTGTAGTTCGTGTTAAAGACAGTCTTGTCCGTAAAAAGCTTCATTTCCAGCCTCTCCCCGATCCTCATTCTCTACCATTGACATCTCCAGAGCCACTCTCGTTACAAGGGCAAATCATCGAAGAACAGCCGGTGAGGATTACTGTAGTTGTAGGTATTTGAATATAGCTATAGCCATAACTGGCTACATGCTATGCTATGCTAGATTACTGTAGCCAACTCTGGCAGCTGTAGCTGGCTGTAGCTGGCTGTAGTTGGCTGTAGCTGGCTATTGAGCTCTGTCAGATCGCTGTGGCCATTCAGATTACTATACTCGTTAGATTAGGGCTTGCTAGATGACTGTAATAGAGCTGTAACTGCTAGATGACTGTAGTCTGTCTATTGGATGTCTATTGGACTTTTATGGACTACCAGTCCAATCTACAGTACTGAGAGACCCATTAATGCACCCAAATCTCAGTCTCACTCTCTGGCGATGTCTCAGCCATCAAGTGCCGGACAACAGGACGAGCCAACCGTTGAGAAAACCTTTCATTTACCAATCTTGCCAGAGCCTTTCGTTTCGCAGGTACAGGTATGCCTAAATCTCTAAAATAGCTAATAGCGCTGCGGGAGAAAGGGCCATTTAAGCGCAAAGTCGATCACTCTTTCAGACAGTGGCCCTATCGACTGATTTGAGACGTGAAAAGCAGCCAAAACAACAGAGTATCGACAATCCGACAAATGAGGTTTGGTTTTGAGAAAAATTCTCTTGAAATGCTCTAGATCAAGGCTAGATCAAGCTCTCAGATTAAGGCCAAAGCCAAAACCAAAGCTAGGCCAAGCTAGACCAAGCTAGACCAAGCTAGACCTAGCCAGACCAAGCCAGACCAAGCTAGACCAACCCATATCATTTAGAGATAGCCTAGCAATGGACTAGACTAGGCTTGACCAGAGCCAGACCAGTTTGAAAGACTCAGGTTTAGCCCAGATACCAGATAGGCCCAGATAACCAGCTCTGATCAGGTTAAGCTGAACTAGGTCACGCTAGAAAAGGGTTGGCTGGGTCAGGATCCGGCTAGGTTAGGCGAGAGTCAGGCTGAGTCAGCTAGATCAGTCAGGCATCAGTTCAACGCCTGGCCTGACTAGCCTGGCCTGACTAGCCTGGCCTGACTAGCCTGGTCTGACTAGCCTGGCCTGACTAGCCTGGCCTGACTAGCCTGGCCTGACTAGCCTGGCCTGACTAGCCTGGCCTGACTAGCCTGACCAGATCAGCCTGACCAGATAAGCCTGACCAGATAAGCCTGACCAGATCAGCTCAGATGCATAAACAGAAAGATTTCCCTTCAGGTCGAATCAATCCGTTCTCGAAAATCCTCGTCGTCAAGTCAAAAATCATCGAAAGGAAAGAAAATGAAAAAGGACGAGTTGGCGAAAGAGTTCGACTCGTGCTTGGAACAGGTCAGCCACTTCTAGAGGCTTCTAAAAACCAAAGCTTCTTCTTTTCCAGGTGCTCGCCTGGTTGCTCGAGGCTGAGGAGGAGTGTGCGGTCCTATCCGATGTGGAAACAAACGATGTGACGGCGGTGAAGACGCAATTCAGGTAGCTAGAGTCGTGTGTTCCGCACGAGCAATGCGTTTCCACAAAAATCACAAACGCCGCTTTATATACGCCGCCTTAGATGTGCCGCCTTATATACGACTCCTTTTAAAGATATTCAGCCGTTTAACTGTTCTGGTGGAAAATTCTCTTCAAATGTAAAGATATTCAATTTACTGGCCGTGTAAAGATGATTAGATTGCTATTGATAGATTGCCAATGGCAAAGCCTTGAGCCAATGTCTCAAGAGAAATGTCCCAAGAGAAATCTCCCAAGAGATATCGGCTTTTTTGTATCGATCATCTCTGAAATAGCTACGGTAACTCGTTTCCAGGGACTACGAGCAATTCATGGCTTCGCTCACCGAGAGTCAGGACACCGTCGGACGGGTATTGCATCGGTTTGTTGCCTTTTGAAAAGCCCATTGGGTAGCTAAGCCAGCCAGCTAAGCTAGCCAGCCAGCTAAGCTAGCCAGCTAAGCTAGCCAGCCAGCCAGCCAGCTAAGCTAGCCAGCCAGCCAGCCAGCTAAGCCAGCCAGCCAGCTAAGCTAGCCAGCCAGCCAGCCAGCTAAGCTAGCCAGCTAAGCTAGCCAGCCAGCCAGCCAGCTAAGCCAGCCAGCCAGCTAAGCTAGCCAGCCAGCCAGCCAGCTAAGCTAGCCAGCTAAGCTAGCCAGCCAGCCAGCCAGCTAAGCTAGCCAGCTAAGCTAGCCAGCCAGCCAGCCAACCAGCTAAGCTAGCCAGCCAGCCATTGCCGAAGCTCGATTTTCTTTCAGTGGTCAACTCCTTTGCCAAAAATCGGAGACCGAGGCTGAACGCGAGGCGATTCAGCAACAGCTTGAGCTGGTCAATTCGCGTTGGGAAAGGCTACGGTGAGTTTGAATTCAATTTCAATAGAAAACTCGTTAAAATGAGAAGCTGGCTATGGATCGTTCCAGGGCGCTGGCTATGGATCGTCAAACGGTACTTCAAAGCGCGCTCACCACTCTCCAACAGAAGCAATTGAATGAGGTTTGATCTTTAAAAAGTCGCCTAGCAAGTCAGCTATTGTAGCCTAGCAAGTCAACTATCATAGCCCAGTGACTCAGCTATCGTAACCCAGTGGATTACGGTAGCTGAGTACTGTAGCTACGGTACTGTAGCTTTCTATCTCTTGATTTTCAGATTTGTGGTTGGATGGCTGATACAGAGACGTTGATCACGGCGGCTGGTGCTTTAGCTGAGACACAAGACGCTGCATTGAAACAGGTGGGGTTTAGGCTGGCTTAGCTGGCTGGCTGAACAGACAAACATACAGTTTTGTTTGTTTGTAGCTTTCCCAGTCAGCTTTCCCAATCAGGTAGCTTTCACAGTGAGGTTATGGTAGTAAAAGAGTAGTTAAACTAGTTTTCTAGTGGATCTCTTTGGAGTACGATAGCTTTCCCAGTCCGTAACCCGGACTGGGAAAGCTACCAAAGGAAAGCTACTGAGAAAGGTAGTAAAGGACCAATTTTAGATTAAACTAATCTTTCTCTTTCTTTGGATCTTTTGACTAACCCATTTTTAGATTGAAGACCACGCTCGGCTACAAAAACGAATCGCTGACTTTGAGCCGACTGTTGCCCAGCTGAGCTCGTTTGTAGCTGTGGTGAGTTGAGGAGATTTGGAATTGATTTTGAAAGGTTTATTGGGTTCTTGAAGTTGGACTGGGCTGGATAGACTGGACAAAAGCTAGATCCAGGTTAATAGCTGTCTAGGCTAATAGCTGGCTAGGCTAGTAACCAGCTTCTGTCTAGGCTAGTAACCAGCTTCTGTCCAGGCTAGTAGCCAGCTAGTCTGTCTAGTAGCCAGCTAGTCTGTCTAGTAGCCAGCTAGTCTGTCTAGTAGCCAGCTTCTGTCTAGTAGCCAGCTTCTGTCTAGTAGCCAGCTTCTGTCTAGTAGCCAGCTAGTCTGTCTAGTAGCCAGCTTCTGTCTAGTAGCCAGCTAGTCTGTCTAGTAGCCAGCTAGTCTGTCTAGTAGCCAGCTTCTGTCTAGTAGCCAGCTTCTGTCTAGTAGCCAGCTAGTCTGTCTAGTAGCCGTCCAGGCTAATAGCCAGCTTCTGTCTAGACCTTTTGGCTCCAAAGCCTGGCCAGATCAGGTCTACTGTTAGTGGATCCGGATCCTGGCTAGGCTTACATCCTGGCTATTAGCCAGCTTCTGTCCTGGATCAGAACTCAAGGAAAACTAGACGAAATCGAACTAAGCCAGAGTCAGCCCATTGAACCTGATCGTCTTCAGTTCCCAACTCATCAATAAACCAAAAATAAACTCAATAAACCAACAATAAACTCAAGAACCTTTCCAGGTTGACGAAGGTGAAACAGAAAGCGATATGTCGGTGGCCCAGCTGGAGACCACTTTGCGAACGGTTGGACAAAGGTTTGTCTAAAAGAAAAGCTGGGGTTTCAAAAGGGATAAGTTACTCTTGTTCCTAGAATGCCCTAGGTCAGCTCAAAGCCAACCCAAGACACTATCGAAATAGGGTTACCTACTATGGATGGCTAAAAAAATACCTTTGCCTTTGCCTAGTAAAACCAGAGATTTAAGACTTAGTCATACCAGTACTAGGTTTGTTTTGGCCTGGTTTTGGCCTGGTTTTGGCCTTTGTTTTGGCCTGGTTTTGGCCTGGTTTTGGCCTTTGTTTTGGCCTTTAGCCTTTAGCCTAACCTCGATTAAACTAGTCCAGTTTAAATTCAAATTCCAGATGGGAAGGGATATGCTTGTGGGCTGAGACTCGAGCACAGCATCTCGATGGATTGGCTGAGTTGTTTGACACGGCTGATGAGGTGTTTTCAAGGCTGAATGCTTGGTTGAAAGAGCGGGAACATGTGAGTTGTACATTGTTGTACATTGTTGTACTGTTGTACTTTTAAAAACTCTTTCAGGAACTACTCGGCCTCAAATCCGCGCATCATCTTGACGAGCGCGAGCAAGTCGCTGAACAGGTTGGGCTTTAAAAAGCTCTAGTTCTAGCTCTAGCTCTAGCTCTAGCTCTAGCTCTAGCTCTAGCTCTAGTTCTAGCTCTAGCTCTAGCTCTAGCTCTAGCTCTAGCTCTAGCTCTAGCTCTAGCTCTAGCTCCAGCTCTAGCTCTAGTTCTAGCTCTAGCTCTAGTTCTAGCTCTAGCTCTAGCTCTAGGCTGTTGTAGGAAGTCTTCAAGTTACAGGAAATCTTGTCCTGTCACTAAAATCACTATTCCTAGGTTCGTCTCCTTCAACAAGCTGAAGCGTCACTCGAAGCTGAACACTCATCTTTCGTTCGAGCTAGTCAACTCAGTTGTGAACTGGTGGCAAGGTTTGGATTTTTTTTTATCATCGCTTGAATAAGTGGCATAATAAGTGGCTAAAGAGAGCGGATCCTTTTCATATCCCGCCATCCTCTAACACCCCGACAACCCAATTCAACAGTACAACCCAACTCAACTCCTCCAATGTACTAGAGGGGAGTCCTTGTGAAATGACCGACCTGTACTGCAGTTGCAAGATATACATCTTTATTTACAGTAGTACAGTAGTACGATAAGACGAATAGATTACAAATGAGGGTAAGGGGGACTCCAAATGAGAGTCTCACTTGTCCTCCTAGGCTCCTAGGTCCTCCTAGGTCCTCCTAGGTCCTCCTACGTCCTTCTAGCTCCTCCTAGATCCTCCTAGGTCCTTCTAGGTCCTTCTGGGTCCTCCTAGGTCCTCCTAGGTCCTCCTAGGCTCCTAGGCTCCAAGGTCCTCCTAGGTCCTCCTAGGTCCTCCTAGCCTCCTAGGTCCTCCTAGGTCCTCCTAGGCAATCCCAAGGACCGCCCCTTCTCGGCAATAAAAGGGATAAGCACAGGGGAGGACACATTTGCAGTAGTACAGTAGTACGATAAGACGAATAGATTACAAATGAGGGTAAGGGGGACTCCAAATGAGAGTCTCACTTGTCCTCCTAGGCTCCTACGTCCTTCTAGGTCCTCCTAGCTCCTCCTAGATCCTCCTAGGTCCTTCTAGGTCCTTCTGGGTCCTCCTAGGCTCCTAGGCTCCTAGGTCCTCCTAGGTCCTCCTAGGTCCTCCTAGCCTCCTAGGTCCTCCTAGGTCCTCCTAGGCAATCCCAAGGACCGCCCCTTCTCGGCAATAAAAGGGATAAGCACAGGGGAGAACACATTTGCATAAGAATAGAAAAATAGCAAAAAAAGCCGATTTTTTCCCACTTTTCAAGAGTCGATTTTCGCTGATTTTCGCCGATTTTCAATCATGTTTTTCTAAGCACTGGTTAATGCTAAAAATATGTATTATATCTCAAAAAAACACCCATTTTCTCTACTTTAATTTGATACCTAAACGCTGAGAAACAAGCGTACTAGTGTCAAAGTTGTAAGCGTTTGTTTGAGAGTAAACTTCGACTAAGCGACGCTCTGATCGGGGGCCGTTTTATTAAAGTTTTCACAACTAAGTACAAAGAAAAATGATTACAAAAAGAATGCTAGGCTTGACACGGGAAATGGAGCGGCGGCAAACGAGGTTCGCCGTCGTTTGGACACGCTCACACAAAGATGGGACAATCTAGTCACAAGAATCGAGGAGCATTCGAATACGGTAGGGAATTGTTGAAATGAATTCGATTTTGTATTGAAGCTTTGCAATTTTGTATGAGCTTTTGTTAAGTAATCTCTGTTAAGTAATCTCTGTTAAGTAATCTCTGTTAAGTAATCTCTCTTAAGTAATCTCTGTTAAGTAATCTTTCTTAAGATCTTTTTTCAGTTAGTAAAAAGCGGGAAAGCTGGTCTGAAAAAGCCCGATCTTTCGATTGAAACGCCGATTGAAACGCCAATTCAAGCAGATTCCGAGGAAAAGAAGAGAATCGAGGAAACTGATACAGAAAACGTCAAATATCCAGAAGAAGAGACTTTGAATCAAGATGTAAGTTAGATAAAAGTTTGAGAAGAAGAATCAGTCAGTAATCATTTCAGTCTTTACATTCAGCGTTGCTAGAGTTGCTAGAGTTGCTAGATTTAACGTTCAAAAGGAAGGAAGTAAGGAAGGAAGGAAGGAAGGAAGGAAGGAAGGAAGGAAGGAAGGAAGGAAGCAAGGAAGCTAAGGAAGCTAGAAGATAAGGAAGCTAGAAGCTAAGGAAGCTAAGGAAGCTAAGGAAGCTAAGGAAGCTAGAAGATAAGGAAGCTAGAAGCTAAGGAAGCTAAGGAAGCAGGAAGCTAAGGAAGCTAAGGAAGTAAGCTAAGCAAGCAAAGCAAGCAGTTCAAAATAAATTCAAAATAAAAAAAAGCTTCGCCTTGTTCACTTTTCACCAAATAAAACCAAAGCAAATCTCTAAAAATCGAGAAATTTTCGAACTTTTAGATTGTCGATCGTTTCCTAGCGCACGTGGAGCGAGTTTCCGCCGAAATGCGCCCATTATCCGATTGGTGTCACGCGTTTACGCTAAGCAAAAGGCCGACTGAGGTTTTCAGATAAAAATATCAGAAAATAATATCAAAGAAATCTATTTAAAAATAAGAAATATCTAAATCTACTATTCTATAAGCTTTTCTATTAGACTATTCTATCATTTTAACCATTTTAGGCTCGAAAAATGATTGCACTTTGTCAGGGGAAACTCGTCGAGATTAAAGAACAAGAGGCAAAGGTTTGTTAGATGAAAATAGCATAGAAAAGTCAGAAATAGCATAGAAAAGTCAGAAATAGCATAGAAAACTGAAGAATTGCTTAGTAGACTCAAGATAATTTCGGGAACGGAGAAAAAGGACGAAAAATGCGACGCGAATAATTGCAAAATAGAAACGCAAATAGGAAGGAAACGGACGCGACCCAAATCGATTTAAGCCTATCTCCACTTTCAGGTGAATCATTTGCAACTCGAAATGGAGCGAATCCACATGAACAAAGATCTCTCGGCCGGGCAACTCAAAGCCGCCAACGACGCTTTTGCTCATTTTGCAAAGGTTTATTTTTTGGAGGGTTTATTGGTTATTTGGTTAGCATTAGATTGTCAGTATTCGAGGTAGAAGTGGGATAACTTTCAGGGTAAACTTCAGGCAGTAACAGCTAACAATTAGACTAAGGTCAAGTCGGACAGGCTAGGCAAGTGGACAGCCAGAGAACCAGAATGGTTGATGGACAGCCAGAGTAGTCTAATGGACAGCCAGAGTAGTCTAATGGACAGCCAGAGTAGAGGCAGCTCAGCTTAGAGTTCAGCTAGGGTCACAGTTTCCACCTGAGCCTGGGCCTGAGCCAGAACTAGACCATTGTCAGATCATAACTGGACTAGAGGGTAAGTTAACAGCTAGTTGGGTACAGCCAAGGACCAGAACCAAGGACCAGAACTGTCGTCCTGTCAAGAGACGTATGGAGTCCCAGGTCCGCAATTTCTTCAAAATCGTCTGAATCGTCATTTGTATAGTTGTAGCTCATAGTGTGCGTTCCAGATCAAAGAAAACTATCAAAACTATACAAGTTCCCATAGAAAAATCCGGGTTTCAAGCCTTGGTCTCGGTTCAATTACGCAATTTCTTCAAAATCGTCTGAATCGTCATTTGTACAGTTGTAGCTCATAGTGTGCGTTCCAGATCAAACTCTGTTGCAAGAATAACTTATTTCTTCTTTAGGATTGGGCCGAGATTGTGACCAAGATCAGCGAAGCGTTGAACGTTCTCTCGGGTCACTCCGATGGTGACGAGGAAGGAGTGGTGGCGAGAGGGATCGAGCAATGGATGGAGGGATGTGAGCGGGTGAGTGGCACGTACAATTTGAGAGAACCTAGCACATCTGGGACGGGCACAGATGAAGTAAAAAGTCTTCATTTCCAGGTACTCAACGAGATGCAGAAAGCGTCGATTTCCGAGCGAGCTCTGCGCGCAAAAAAGCTCAAAGAGCAATGGGACACACAGAATTCGAATCTCAACTTTATCCAAAAGGTAAGCTATCGAAAGCCAAACGGTAAGTGATCCAAAGCAAGAAGCTAAGCTATCCAAAGCTAGAAGCTAAGCTATCCAAAGCCCCAGCTAAGCTATCCAAAGCAAGAAGCTAAGCTATCCAAAGCCCCAGCTAAGCTATCCAAAGCTAGAAGCTAAGCTATCCAAAGCCCCAGCTAAGCTATCCAAAGCCCCAGCTAAGCTATCCAAAGCTAGAAGCTAAGCTATCCAAAGCCCCAGCTAAGCTATCCAAAGCAAGAAGCTAAGCTATCCAAAGCCCCAGCTAAGCTATCCAAAGCCCCAGCTAAGCTATCCAAAGCAAGAAGCTAAGCTATCCAAAGCTAGAAGCTAAGCTATCCAAAGCTAGAAGCTAAGCTATCCAAAGCCCCAGCTAAGCTATCCAAAGCTAGAAGCTAAGCTATCCAAAGCTCAACGAGCGATCCAAAGCCAGACTCGAAGCTTTCCTGCAAGCTCTAGACTACTACAGTAACCAGAAGAAGTCTCAAAACGATTTCTCCCTCATTTCTCATTTCCTCAAAGCTGATTTCCCTTCTTTCAGGATCATCTCAAACGAGCCATTCTCACGAAGGGATTGCAATTGATTGGGAAACGTTTACAACAACATATTGCTTTCGAGGCACCGGTGATTACATGAACTCGTTTGAATAGAAACTAAAAGATATCTATTTAAAAAACAAAAGCACTACTGTAACAGTATAGTGTTTACAGTTTAGTGTCTACAGTAGTGTCTACAGTAGTGTCTACAGTAGTGTCTACAGTATATTGCTACTATTTTTGAGTCCATTTTTGTTACCATAGCCAAGCAAGCCTCAAATTTACAATAATAGAGCTCAAAAAAAAGGTTTGCGGACATTTGAAACGCCGATTTGCCATCGAACTCAACTTTGAGCTCAATTTTCTTGGTGTTGAGCTGTCCAATTGAATAGTTTTTGGTATCATTAGATGCGCCAAGTCTTCCTCTATCGATTCGTCTAAAAAACTATTTAGATTGCTCAGTCCAACAAGAAGAAACTTGAGTCCAAAGCCCCGCCCATTTTTCCATTGGTAATCTAACTTTGAGCTTAATTATCTTGGTGTTGGTTTGCTCAATCTTAACATTCTTGGTATCATTAGATGCGCCTAGTCTTTCTCTATCGATTGGTATAAAAATGATTCCGATTGGACAGCTCGATGCCAAGATAATTGAGCTCAAAGTCGAGTCGAATGGGCCAGGCGCGTATAAAAGGTCTCTCTGGCCCCGCCCCCTTTTGGGCTTAAGCTCAGGCTCAGGCTCAGGCTCAAATCAAAAACAAGCAGCGTAAACCGATTTCGATTCCATTTATCGCTAAATTCAGGTAACTCCCACCTCGTCAGTGATGATGACTTCAAGTGTTCAGAGTGCTCCCGGAGCTGAGCCACGGTTGAAAGAGGTTCGCTTCTACACAATTTCTACAGATTTAGCTATGTTTTGATTGTTTTGACCATGTTTTTCATAAATTCTCTCACCATTTTCCAGCTAGAAACAAGCTTGTCCGGTCCCTGGCACTCGGTGGGCGATTTGCGACATTTGCGCGATGATTTCGCGAAAATCGAGAAGCTCACGCAGACGCTGAAGGGGGTAAAAGCTGAAGAATGATAGAAATTGATTGGAATTGATAGGAAAATGATAGAAATTGATTGGAATTGATAGAAATTGATAGAAATTGATAGGAATTGATAGGAATTGATTGGAATTGATTGGAATTGATAGGAATTGATTGGAATTGATTGGAATTGATAGGAATTGATTGGAATTGATAGGAATTGATTGGAATTGATTGGAATTGATAGGAATTGATTGGAATTGATAGGAATTGATTGGAATTGATTGGAATTGATAGGAATTGATTGGAATTGATAGGAATTGATTGGAATTGATTGGAATTGATAGGAATTGATTGGAATTGATAGGAATTGATTGGAATTGATTGGAATTGATAGGAATTGATTGGAATTGATAGGAATTGATTGGAATTGATTGGAATTGATAGGAATTGATTGGAATTGATAGGAATTGATTGGAATTGATTGGAATTGATAGAAAATTGTAGATTGGATTCGAAAATGCGATTTTCGATGAAATTTCGCGATTTTAAGAGAGATTTCAGGAGAAACTCCCGATCGAATTCGTTGAAATGGCGGAAAAGCGACGCGCCGAGACGTTGGAGCGTTTGGAAATCACGCAAAAAGCAGCCGAAATGATCGAGAAAGCGCAGATTGGACTGGATCGGTGTGGAAATACGAGAAAGCATAAATAGAACATCAATCGACCATAAATATTCCATAAAAATGAATAGAACGGCCGGCTATTGGCTGGATTAGTCAGCTGCTAGATGCTAGATGCTAGATGCTAGATGCTAGACCAGATCTCAACGCCTGTAGCTCCTGTAGCGCCTATAGCGCCAGTAATGCCTGTAGCGCCTGTAATGCCTGTAATGCCTGTAACGCCTGTAATGCCTGTAACACCAGTTTCACCAGTTCCACCAGTTCCTCCTAGGTCCTTCTAGGCTCCTAGGCTTCCAGGTCCTCCTAGGTCCTCCTAGGTCCTCCTAGGCTCCAGGCTCCTAGGCTCCTAGGCTTCTAGGTCCTCCTAGGTCCTCCTAGGTCCTCCTAGGTTCTCCTAGGTTCTCCTAGGTCCTCCTAGGCTCCTAGGCTCCAGGCTCCAGGCTCCTAGGCTCCTAGGCTTCTAGGTCCTCCTAGGTCCTCCTAGGTCCTCCTAGGCTCCTAGGTCCTCCTAGTTCACCAGTTCCACCAGATCTCCCCCAGATCCTCAGCCTTTTCAGAATCTCATCAAAAGTCGAGTCCGCCTCAAACTCCACGGACGATTTCCCGTCTGTGATCGCTCGTTTGAATGGATTGAGAGAAGAATTGGCTGCAGAAGAAACATTGAGAAAAGATGCGGAGAGATTGGCTGAGAAGATGCTTTTAAGGGATCCGGATTTGGATCAAGATGTGAGTTTTGGATTGATTTCATTGCTAGAGTACTCATTCTGTGCTTCTAGTAGCCTATAGTAGCCCATAGTAGTCTACAGGACCCTATAGTAGTCTATAGTCGCCTATAGTAGTCTACAGTCGCCTACAGTAGCCTACAGTAGCCTACAGTAGCCTATAGTAGCCTACAGTAGCCTACAGTCGCCTATAGTAGTCTATAGTAGCCTATACCAGCTACAGTAACCAGTACCAGCTACAGTAAGCTACAGTCATAGCCGGTAAAACGGTAGACGGAGGCTGGCTGGAGTACTGTAGCCTGTACTGTAGCCTGTGGTACTGTAGCCTGTTGTACGGGTTACAGTAGTACTGTAGCAAGAGTACTGTGCCTTTCAATCCAATCTTTGCCCAGATCACAACCGCTTGGCGTGCCCGGGTGAACAAGTTGGCGGAAGATTGGTCAAAGCTGGCCGACTCGATCGAGGACACGATCTCGTGCGTGAAGAAAGAGCACCGGATGAGTGTGCAGAGTGAGTTTTGTGCAGTAACCCTAACTTTTCGTAGTTCTAGAACATTTGAAACACGCCGCGCCCCTTTTGCCATTGGACTCGACTTTGAACTCAAATATCTTGGCATCGAGCTGTCCAATCGGAATCATTTTTGTACCAATCGATAGAGAAAGTCTTGGCGCATCTAATGAGACCAAGAATGTTAAAATTGAGCAAGCCAACACTGAGATAATTGAGCTTGAAGTTGGATTGCCATTGGCAAAATGGGCGGGGCTTTGGACCCAAATTTCTTTTTGTTGGATTGAGCAATTAGAATAGTTTTTATACCAAGCTTGTAGCTTGTTTTTGTTTTGAGCCTGAGCCTAAGCCTAAAAGGGGGCGGGGCCAGAAAGACCTTTTATACGCGCCCCGCCCATTGGACTCGACTTTGAACTCAAATATCTTGGCATCGAGCTGTCCAATCGGAATCATTTTTATACCAATCGATAGAGAAAGACTAGGCGCATCTAATGATACCAAGAATGTTAAAATTGAGCAAGCCGACACCAAGATAATTAAGCTCAAAGTTAGATTACCAATGGAAAAATGGGCGGGGCTTTAAAGCCAAATTTCTTCTTGTTGGACTGAGCAATCTAAATAGTTCTGGAACCAATCGATAGAGAAAGTCTTGGCGCATCTAATGATATCAAAAACTATTCAATTGAGCAAGCCAACACTGAGATAATTGAGCTCAAAGTTATTGCAATTGCAAAAGGGAAATGAAGTGATCAAATCTCGGTCTCAAATGGCTGATAATGATTACAATCAATGATTACAATGAATGCTTTCACAATTTCCTTTTAGAAGCAATCAATGACGGTGATCGAGTGCTAAAAGATCTTGAAAAGACGCTTGTCGAGAGTGAATCGGCCGCTGATGCTGAGCAATTGAGTGAACACCTTGATGTAAGAGCTGTAGCCTGATTTGGATGACTGTAGCTGCTCTCCTTTGGATCACTAAGTCTATAGTTAAGCCTCGTTTTGTAGGATTACTGTAGGGTTACTGTCGGATTACTGTAACAGACGCTAGTAGTCAACTAGCTGCTTCCCAAGTGAGCCAGCTACTTCCCAAGTGAGCCAGCTGCTTCCCAAGTCAACTAGCTGCTTCCCAAGTGAGCCAGCTACTTCCCAAGTGAGCCAGCTGCTTCCCAAGTCAGCCAGCTGCTTCCCAAGTGAACTAGCTGCTTCCCAAGTCAGCCAGCTACTTCCCAAGTGAACTAGCTGCTTCCCAAGTGAACTAGCTGCTTCCCAAGTCAGCCAGCTACTTCCCAAGTCAGCCAGCTGCTTCCCAAGTCAGCCAGCTACTTCCCAAGTGAACTAGCTGCTTCCCAAGTGAACTAGCTACTTCCCAAGTCAGCCAGCTGCTTCCCAAGTCCACTAGCTACTTCCTAAGCCTTTCCAAGCCAACTAGCTACTTCCTAAGCCTTCCCAAGTCCACTAGCTACTTCCTAAGCCTTCCCAAGTCCACTAGCTACTTCCTAAGCCTTCCCAAGTCCACTAGCTACTTCCTAAGCCTTTCCAAGTTCACTAGCTACTTCCTAAGCCTTCCCAAGTCCACTAGCTACTTCCCTAAGCCTTCCTCCCAGCTACTTCCTAAGCCTTCCCAAGTCCACTAGCTACTTCCTAAGCCTTCCCAAGTCCACTAGCTACTTCCTAAGCCTTCCCAAGTCCACTAGCTACTTCCTAAGCCTTTCCAAGTTCACTAGCTACTTCCTAAGCCTTCCCAAGTCCACTAGCTACTTCCTAAGCCTTCCCAAGTTCACTAGCTACTTCCTAAGCCTTCCCAAGTCCACTAGCTACTTCCCAAGTCAGCCAGCTTCTTCCCAAATCCTTACTTTCCAGCAAATTGAGAGCCTACTCGAGCAAGTGCCTGACACGAGTGGACTGGAGCCAGTTGTTGAAGGTAAAGCTTTTGAATTGAGTAACTAATGCAGATAGAAAATGCTTTCAACTAGAGGCTAGAACGAGAAAACTGTTTGTTTTGTTTTTCTTGGCGTTCAAATCGTTGACGAAATCGTTCTAATCGCTAAGAAATGTTCTCATTTTTCAGCGATCAACGAAAACTTCGTCCGGGACAACTGGCAAAGACACAGTGCTAGTAGAGAGAAGATTCAGGGAAAAGCAAAAGAGAGAATCCAACAAATCAACGATAGAGTTCATCAGTGTGAGAGATTTGATCAAATCGGTGGGTGGATTGGATTGGAATTGGATTGGAATTGGATTAGAATCGTTAGAATCGTTAGAATTGTTGTAATTTCATTGGAATTGGATTAGAATTGGATTAGAATTGGATTAGAATCGTTAGAATTGTTGGAATTGTTGAAATTTCATTGGAATTTCATTTGAATTGGATTAGAATCGTTAGAATTGTTGGAATTTCATTGGAATTGTTGTACTTCCATTGTAATTATCAAAACCAGCCCTATAAACTTCTAATTTAGCTGGTGAACTCGAGAAATGGGCACCACGTTTCTCAGCTTTACTCGCGGCAAGGAAAGGAGCTGATATCTCAGCACTTGATGTCCCCGAAGAGTACAAGGTTTGTTTGGGAAAGAGATTTGGGAAAGAGATTTGATTAAATCGGTATGTATTCCGATCAAATCGGTATCTATTTCGATCAAGATATCAAGCCGAGCCTTTTAACTATGTTCAAGCATCAAAACCAACTGTCTTTTAACTAGTTTTATACTAAGTTGAATAAATGGATTGTCCTGGAATCATCCTGATCATCCTGATCATCCTGAGATCATCCTGATCATCCTGGGATCATCCTGATCATCCTGAGATCATCCTGATCATCCTGGGATCATTCTGATCATCCTGGGGTCATTCTGATCATCCTGGGATCATTCTGATCATCCTGGGATCATTCTGATCATCCTGGGATCGTCCTGGGATGCTCAATTCATCTGAAACCCATCATCCATTATTATTCGTCTTTTCGATTATTTCCAAACAATTGTTGGATTGATCACATTAAAGATCTTTGGCAAGCTCGTGCAAGCCTACAGCTCTCCTGGAAAGCCTGCAGCTCTCCTGGAAAGCCTGCAGCTCTCCTGGAAAGCCTGCAGCTCTCCTGGAAAGCCTGCAGCTCTCCTGGAAAGCCTGCAGCTCTCCTGGAAAGCCTGCAGCTCTCCTGGAAAGCCTGCAGCTCTCCTGGAAAGCCTGCAGCTCTCCTGGAAAGCCTGCAGCTCTCCTGGAAAGCCTGCAGCTCTCCTGGAAAGCCTGCAGCTCTCCTGGAAAGCCTGCAGCTCTCCTGGAAAGCCTGCAGCTCTCCTGGAAAGCCTGCAGCTCTCCTGGAAAGCCTGCAGCTCTCCTGGAAAGCCTGCAGCTCTCCTGGAAAGCCTGCAGCTCTCCTGGAAAGCCTGCAGCTCTCCTGGAAAGCCTGCAGCTCTCCTGGAAAGCCTGCAGCTCTCCTGGAAAGCCTGCAGCCTCCTGGAAAGCCTGCAGCTCTCCTGGAAAGCCTGCAGCTCTCCTGGAAAGCCTGCAGCTCTCCTGGAAAGCCTACAGCTCTCCTGGAAAGCCTACAGCTCTCCTGGAAAGCCTACAGCTCTCCTGGAAAGCCTACAGCTCTCCTGGAAAGCCTACAGCTCTCCTGGAAAGCCTACAGCTCTCCTGGAAAGCCTACAGCTCTCCTGGAAAGCCTACAGCTCTCCTGGAAAGCCTACAGCTCTCCTGGAAAGCCTGCAGCTCAGCGTTCATCAGCATCCATCACCGTCCAGCAGCGTTCATCAGCGTCCAGCAGCGCCGATCAGCGTCCATCAGCTTCCATCAGCTTTCATCAGCGTCCATCACCGTCCAGCAGCATCCAACGTCCATCGGAACTCTTGTGCGCCTGGCCCAGGTGAAGCTAGGTTAAAACTAGCTATAAAGACTGTTGGTTTTGTACATAGTTAAGCGCTTGGCTCACATTTGATTTGATTTTGATTTGATTCATTTTATTGATCATACAAGATTGGGTGACGATTTTCGGGGAATTTTTTTTGCGGAACTTTTGAACGAAAAAGAGTCTTTTCTATTTCATTTCTATTTCTATTTCTATTTCATTTCTATTTCAAAAACCCTTCTTTTCCTTTCCTTTTTCTGAATTCGATCCTTTTCTTTCTTGAGAGTGCGCAAATATCCGAAGAAAATCCGAAGAAATCTGTTGTGTGGCTTGAAAAAAAAGTCTTTCTTTCAAAGCTTTTCTGTTATTTTCTTTATGCTTTTTCTTTAAGCTTTCATTTATTTTAAATTTTAAGTTTTGATTTGTTTAGTTTTAAGAGTTTAGATTTAAAAAAAGAGCTTCGGGAATTAGTTAAAAGTATTGTTAGTTTGTTTAAAAGTATTGTTAGCTTGTTTAAAAGTGAGTTGGCTTGTTTAAAAGTGAGTTAGCTTGTTTAAGAGTATTGTTAGTTTGTTTAAAAGTATTGTTAGTTTGTTTAAAAGTATTGTTAGCTTGTTTAAAAGTATTGTTAGCTTGTTTAAAAGTATTGTTAGCTTGTTTAAAAGTATTGTTAGCTTGTTTAAAAGTGAGTTGGCTTGTTTAAAAGTATTGTTAGTTTGTTTAAAAGTATTGTTAGCTTGTTTAAAAGTGAGTTAGCTTGTTTAAAAGCTTGTTTTCTTTATCTAAATCGAATCTATTCGATCCAAATCTTGGTCCAAATCTTGATTTAGCTGATTTGGTTGATTTAGCTGACTTAGCTGATTTAGTTGAGTCCCAATCTTGATCCCTTGATTTAGCTTGATCCAAATATTGATCCAAATCTTGATTTAGCTGGTTATTTCATTGAATTTCATTGAATTTCATTGAATTTCATTGATTTTCATTGAATTTCATTGATTTTCTTTGAATTTCATTGAATTTCATTGAATTTCATTATTTTCATCCTTTCAGCATTCTTTTGAATCGGGCACTTTGATTACGGTGAGATTGTTGAGTGTTTAACGTTTGTTTAGCGTTGTTTAACGTTGTTTAGCGTTTGTTTAACGTTTGTTTAACGTTTAACGTAATGTTTTTCTTTCTTTGAGTCAACGAAATCTGCATGTAAGGATTTTAGTCGAGAAATCTGCATAGAATGCAAGCATATCTGTATTTAAATGCAAGCTTTTATCTGCAAGCATTTATCTACAATAAATGCAAGCATATCTACAATAAATGCAAGCTTTTATCTGCATTTAAATGCACAAATTCAACTGTTTTGCATGTCAATTTGACTAGTGAAAGAGTGCTATTAATGTTTTCAAAAAAAAAAAAATAAAGCATGCTTTTTCCATGTAGTTTTTTTTCTAAGTAACTTTTCTGCCTATCAACCTTTTTAAATGCAAATCTTTTTAGGCAATGCAAAATGAGTTCGACGAGCAAACGAAAGCCATTGGAGAGATGAGGGAAATCGCGGGAAAAGAGCAGAATGAACGATTAGATGAACAGATGAAACATGCTGAGGTTGGGGAAGAGATGTGGATCATCGACTAGATGTAGAGCTGCTAGATATAGAGCTGCTAGTTTTGGCTGTTAGATTTTGGCTGTTAGATTTTGGCTGCTAGTTTTGGCTGCTAGTTTTAGCTGCTAGATTTTGGCTTCCACTTATCCTAGTGACTCTCCCATAGCCTCAAACCGTACTCGCTTGATTTTACTGTATTTTTTGAGGCCTAGGGTTGCCCAGGTTCCCTAGATTGCCCAGAACCCAGAACCCCAGAACCTGAGCAACCTGGGGAACCTGGGAAACCTGAGCCAGGTTCCCTAGATTCCCTAGATTCCCTAGGTTCCCTAGATTCCCTAGATTCCCTAGATTCCCTAGGTTCCCTAGATTCCCTAGGTTCCCTAGACTCCCCAGGTTCCCTAGGTTCCCTAGATTCCCCAGGTTCCCCAGGTTCCCTAGATTCCCTAGATTCCCTAGGTTCCCTAGATTCCCTAGATTCCCTAGGTTCCCTAGATTCCCTAAATTCCCCAGGTTCCCTAGGTTCCCTAGATTCCCCAGGTTCCCTAGGTTCCCTAGATTCCCCAGGTTCCCTAGGTTCCCTAGATTCCCCAGGTTCCCCAGGTTCCCTAGTCTAGGTAAAAAGGCAGATAAGATCCTGTACTCTATCATTCGATCTACTATAGTTCGGAGACTCTAGCTCAAGCTCTAGAGTCTTTGAACTATAGTAGATCGATCTAGAGTCTGAAGAGACTCTAGATCGATGTTTCTCTAATAGCTTTTATAGTTATAAGCTTTATAGTCGGCTTTTATAGTTATAGGCTTCATAATCGGCTTTCATAGTTTTCAGTTACCATACTCCATTTTGATTGGGTTCAATAGCGGACCCTTAGGCTAAGGAACTACAGGTCCAAGCAAGCAACCTGTGGTTCGTTAGCCTAAGGCTTGGACCTGTGGCCCAGGGTGAAGGCCTAAGCCCAGGCTTGGACTTAGTGCGTAGGCTTAGGCTCAGATTCAGGCTTAGGCTCGGCTCTTCAACCATTCACAAAATTCATAAAAAACTTTTAGAAAACGTTCGCCGATCTCGCGCCACGTTTCGCCACTTTCAAGCAACCCGTACACTTCGAGGGAAAGCTAGAGAAGTGCACAGATAGACTCACACAAATCGAGCATTCACTCGATGAACTAACAGGTAAATGAAAAGCCAGAGGGTTGCAAGAGCTGGCAAGAGCTGGCAAGAGCTGGCAAGAGCTGGCAAGAGCTGGCAAGAGCTGGCAAGAGCAAGAGCTTTGCCAGAGCTTTGCAAGAGCTCAACGTACATAAAACCCTTGCCGTTTGCCGCTGAGGAAGCCAGGAAGCCAGATTGAAATGAATTGAATTGAATTGAAGAATGCAAGTGCCAGAATGCCCCGATTTAGGCTTAAAACTCGAGTCAATCGAAAGCGGATTGTTGGAGGCGAAGAATTCAGTGAAAGATTTGATTTCCCTGGACGAGACGTTGAAAGATCTCGACACAGGACGAGAGAGATTGTTGCGAGATTCGATTTTAAGTGAGTTCTAGAGTTCTGGAGTTCTGGAGTTCTGGAGTTCTGGAGTTCTGGAGTTCTGGAGTTCTGGAGTTCAGAGTTCAGAGTTCAATGGGTTTCAAAGGAATTAAGTCTTTGAAATTGAGAAATTGAGAAAAAGTCTGGTCAATTGCTGATCCGTTGATCGTTGATCGTTGATCAACAGCGCTAACAGAGTTAAATCTAAAGGCAAACTTTAGACAAGCTTAGACAAGCTTTAGTTCAACTTAGACAAGCTTAGACAAGCTTTAGACAAGCTTAGAAAACTTTAGCCCAACATAGACAAGCTTTAGTCCAACCTAGACAAGCTTAGACAAGCTCTAGACAAGCTTAGACAAGCTTAGACAACTTTAGTTCAACTTAGACAACTTTAGTCCAACTTAGGCAAGCTTAGACAAGCTTTAGACAAGCTTAGACAAGCTTAGACAAGCTTAGACAAGCTTAGACAAGCTCTAGACAAGCTTAGACAAGCTTAGACAAGCTTTAGTTCAACTTAGACAAGCTTAGACAAGCTTTAGACAAGCTTTAGACAAGCTTAGACAAGCTTTAGTCCAACTTAGTCCAACTTAGTCCATCTTTGGTCCAACTTAGTCCAACTTTAGACAAAAACGAAGCCACCGAAGTCAAGGCGAAGCTTCAAATAGCGAAGAGGAAAACGAAAGTAAGCATTTGGGTAGTTTTGTAAGCAATTTGAGTAAGCAAATAAAGTAATTAATTTGAGCGATTCATTCTGAATGAATTTCTCAATGAATTCGCATTCACCGGAATTCAGTTTTGCGATTTCTGAGCGACAAAATGCCAACAAAAGTTGAGGCAAAAGGATTTCTGAGCCACAAGAGCTTTGTAGGCGTAGATGAATGAGCTAGTGATCATTGATCTACGCCTACAAAGCCATAGATCAATGATCAATGATCAATAGGCATAGATCAATGATCAATAGGCATAGATCAATGATCAATAGGCATAGATCAATGATCAATAGGCATAGATCAATGATCAATAGGCAATCAATGAATCAATCTTCCAGGAGCTCGGCCTTAGAGCTGAGGAAGCCGTTGATCGACTCGATGATTGCAAGATTTTAGCTGAAAAGCTGAAAGACGAGATGGGAAAGGTATTTTTTGATAGAAAATTTTTGATAGAAGAATTTTGATAGAAAATTTTTGATAGAAGACTTTCAACCAACCAAAAATCGAGATCCAATCGAGTTTCCCTTCATCAATCCCCTTTTTCAGGTCGATAAAATGTTATCGTTGATGGAGAATCGTTTGGAAGAGTACGGTCGACAAGAGAGCAATCTGGAAGAAGACAAAATCGAGGAGATGGTCAATGAGTGGAATCGGTGAGTGCCGTTGCCATTCGACTCGACTTTGAACTCAATTATCTTGACATCTAGCTGTCCAATCGGAATCATTTTTGTACCAATCGATAGAGGATGACTTGGCGCATCTAATGATACCAAGAATGTTAAAATTGAGCAAACCAACATCAAGATAATTGAGCTCAAAGTTAGATTGCCAATGGGAAAAAGGGGCGGGGCTTTGGACTCAAGTTTCTTCTTGTTGGATTGAGCAATTAGAATAGTTTTTATACCAATCGATAGAGAAAAACATGACGAATCTAATGATACCAAGAATGTTAAAATTGAGCAAACCAACCTCAAGATAATTGAGCTCAAAGTTGGATTGCCAAAAAGGGGCGGGGCTTTAAACTCAAATTTCTCAGAAAGGGGCCTATCAAATCTCCGATAAGCGATTAGCCGACGCTTTTGGTCGAGCAACTACGAGTAATCCTCTTTGCACCTCGAGTAAATTGTATATATCTTTACATTTGAAGGGAATTTGCAAGCAAATCAGTTAAACAGCTGAACATCTTTAAAAGGCGGCGTATATAAGACGGCGTATATAAGACGGCGTATACAAGGCAGCGTATATAAAGCGGCGTAGATAAGACGGCGTATATAGGACGGCGTATATAAGGCGGCGTTTATAAGACGGCGTATATAAGACGGCGTATACAAGGCAGCGTATATAAGGCGGCCTTTATAAAGCGGCGTAGATAAGACGGCGTATATAAGACGGCGTATATAAGACGGCGTATATAAGACGGCGTATATAAGACGGCGTATATAAGGCGGCCTTTGTAAAGCAGCGTATATAAGACGGCGTATATAAGGCGGCCTTTCTAAAGTAGTGTATATAAGGCGGCGTTTATAAGGCAGCGAATATAAGAAGGCGTATCTAAGACGGCGTATCTAAAGCGGCATATCTAAGGGGACGTATATAAGGCGGTATATCTAAAGCGGTGTATATAAGACCGCGTAGAGAAGACGGTGTATATAAGGCGGCGGATATAAGACGGCGTGAGGAACACACTATAAATAGAACTGAACAGCCTGAAGCCAAACCGTGGGTAGGCAATCCAGGACTATGCCAGATCCAGTTCAAATCAAGGCTGTCAGCTTAAGCCTAAGCCTAAGCGAGCAATGTGTGGGCCCCCAGTGCCCCAGATAAGCCCCAGATGGCCCCAGTGGCCCGGATGGCCCCAGTGGCCCGGATGGCCCCAGTGGCCCGGATGGGCCCCTGCTTAGCCTAAGCCTAAGCAAGCAAAGCTTTCAATTTCAGAAACGAAGCCATCGTCCGCTCATTGGAAGAATTGGAGAGAGTGCTGAAATCGAAAGCGATTGACATTGAGACAAGGACGGGAAGCGGGGAAAGAAGAAGACGGGCGCAGGAGTTGAAGGTTCGTTGTCCGTTGTCCGTTGTCCGGTTGAGATTTGCAGATTTGCGATTTGCGCAATTTCTATTGCAATTCCACCCATATCAGCTTCAAATTTCAATTTCGATTTTAATTTAGACCCGTTTGGACGCTTGGAATTTGACGGCTCGCGAAATGAACGACGATCACGAGAGTCTACTTTTAGAGGTGAACTTTTTGAAGCACGGTTTCTTCAGCCGGTTCTAGAGCTCTGCCAGATTCTAGAGCTCTGCCAGATTCTAGAGCTCTGCCAGATCAGGCTTTGGCTTCTGAGCTAACTCTGGCCTAGCTTAACCTAAGGCAATCATAGGCAATCATTTCCTGTGCTGTAAACGGGACACAGTTACTGTAGCTTGTTTTTTAGGTCGACGAATTGCACGAGGATTTGATGAAGAAATTGGACGACGCTGAGAAAGAGGACGATCCAAAAGAGGTGCGAAATGAAGAACTTTAAGTGAAAATTGAATCGGTTTTTGATTTTCTTTTTTTGAAAACCTACTGTGACATCCAGTTTGGCCATTCCATACTTCAAACAATCACTTTATTCCAGAATATGCCAAATTTCGATCAGCCACTGTCCGGTTCAGTTACGCAATCAGGCCAAAACGTTTAAATCGGAAATTTATCTTTCTGAAAAGCTGCTGTGACATCCAGACTGACCATTCCATTTTTGAAACAATCACTTTGTTCCAGAATATGCCAAATTTCGATCAGCCACTGTCCGGTTCAATTACCCAATCAGGCCAAAATGCTTAAATCGATATTTTCTCTTCTTGAAAACCTTCTGTGACATCCAGATTGGCCATTCCATTTTTGAAACAATCACTTTGAAACAAACAAACAAACCAGCCGCCACCCTCGGCCCCGGTTCAGTTACGCAGTAGTGTCGAAATCGAGTCGGTTCTCAATTTTGCCATTTTTATCTCATCGTGTGCGTTCCAGATAGGATAAAGATCATGCAAATTATTCGAATTCTCTTAGAAATTCGGGATTTCCGGCGTTGATCTCGATTTTGTTACCCAATTTTGTCATATTTCTCGATTCGCTGCACGAAAAAAAACCTAAAACCCACGAAAATTCCTTAAAATTCCTCAAAATTCCTCAAAATACTCTCAATAATTGGGGTTTGAAAGGGTTTTTGAAAGAGAAAAAGCCTTTTTTTTTTTTTTTTTTTTTTGCTTTTTTTGCTCTTTTCCCAACTTTACAATGTCTTTTTTGTCTTTTTGGCTTTTTTTTTCTCAAGAAATATCCTCTCTTTTCAGAAATTTAGAGAAAAAAATCCTTTTTTCGGGTTTTTCCGAGCAAAGCCAAGTCGCAAGTGATCTTTTCACACATACGTTTTTGAAAATCAGGCTAAAAAAATTATCCTTGCTTTTTTGTGATTTGGAGGCAATCTGGAGCCCATCTGGGGCACTGGTGGCCATCTGGGGCCTATCTGGGCCACTGGGGCCCACCTGGGGCACTGAGGGCCATCTGGGGCCTATCTGGGCCACTGGGGCCCACCTGGGGCACTGAGGGCCATCTGGGGCCTATCTGGGCCACTGGGGCCCACCTGGGGCACTGAGGGTTATCTAGAGCCCATTTGGGCCACTGGTGGCCATCTAGAGCCCATTTGAGCCACTGGGGGCCATCTAGAGCCCATCTGAGCCACTGAGGGCCATCTAGAGCCCATTTGGGCCACTGGTGGCCATCTAGAGCCCATCTGAGCCACTGGGGGCCATCTAGAGCCCATCTGAGCCACTGGGGGCCATCTAGAGCCCATCTGAGCCACTGAGGGCCATCTAGAGCCCATTTGGGCCACTGGTGGCCATCTAGAGCCCATCTGAGCCACTGGGGGCCATCTAGAGCCCATCTGAGCCACTGGGGGCCATCTAGAGCCCATCTGAGCCACTGAGGGCCATCTAGAGCCCATTTGGGCCACTGGTGGCCATCTAGAGCCCATCTGAGCCACTGGGGGCCACCTAGAGCCCATTTGGGCCACTGGGGCTCGTCTGGGCCACTGAATGGCACAGAATTCTTCAGGGAAATCGTCTATTTCTGATTTGAAACCTTTAAAGTCGAATTAAACGTTATTTGGGTTTCCAAAAATTGCTTCTCTTCTTCGTTCTGACATCTATCTTTATTAAATCAATCTTTAAATGCTTTACGAAAGCTTCACCCATTTCAGATCGCCTCTAGACTCCACTTTTTGCGTCACGATCGTGATCGGCTTTCGTCAAGGGCGCGACGCTTGGCGATGCTCAATCCACGATTGGCTCAGAGTGATCCCGTGAGTGAAATAGGCATTTTCGATAAACAAGCTTTCGTTTTAAGGATTAAGGATTAAGGATTACGACCTTCAAAGGTCGGGCAATGTCTAGATCAGATCAAGATCAAGATCGGACCAGATCGGACCAAGATCGGACCAAAATCGGACCAGATCAAAGCCAGCGTCAAACCAATAACCTGCTTGGCTCAGGCTCAGGCTTAGGCTTAGGCTTAGGCTTAAGCTTAAGCTTAGGGCAAGTCTAGGCTAGGCTAATGGGGACCTGGGTCAGACTGGGCCAGTCTAAGCTAGGCGAATGGGGACCTGGGTCAGACTGGGCCAGTCTAAGCTAGGCGAATAGGGACCTGGGTTAGACTGGGCCGGTCTAGGCTAGGCCAATAGGGACCTGGATCAGACCAGGTCAGTCTAAGCTTGGTCAATAGGGACCTGGGTCAGACTGGGCCAGTCTAAGCTAGGCCAACGGGAACCTGGGTCAGACCGGGCCAATCTAAGCTAGGCCAACGGGAACCTGGGTCAGACCGGGCCAATCTAAGCTAGGCCAACGGGGATCTGGGTCAGACTGGACCAGTCTAGGCTAGGTCAACGGGAACCTGGGTCAGACCAGGCCAGTCTAGGCTAGGTCAACGGAGACCTGGGTCAGACTGGGCCAGTCTAAGCTAGGCCAAAGCCAGATCCCCAGCTCTGATTCCTGGCTTGGCAGGGAAAAACCAACATTGAAGTCTGTTAGATGCTTTAAAACTGTTAAATGCTTTAAATCGAAATGAAATCAGAATCCAAAGCCCAAACAAATCGAAGCAATTGAGGTAGCCGACGTGAACTCTCGATGGCATCGTCTAGAAGAAAGAATGGAAACGGAAAGTGGTGACATTCATCAACCACCGCCTCTTCCACCACCACATCCACCGCATCAATCTTTTGAGGACGGAGTGAAGAGATTAGCGGAAAGGTTTGAGAATTTGGGAATTGGCAAATTGGTAAACGCACTTTCTGGTGCACCAAATAAACTGCGCCAGCTGTAACTAAGCTGGCAGTTCGCCAGTTGTTGAGCTTGAGCAGCCTCAGGCTCACGTTCTAAGCTTTCTCTAAGCCCTGCGTAACTAAACCGGCTTAGCTTTTTTCAGCTTTCTGCAGCTATTTTCAGCTATTTTCAGGGCTAAAGGAGGCTATTTTTGGCCGCTTTGAACACCTTTGATTTCAGCTTCGATGTGGCCGTTAAATATTTGGATTTCGACGAGTACCCAGTGCGGAATGCGAACGAGTGGCGGGATCGGGTCAAGGTGAGAATTCGATTCTTTGACTAGACTTTAAAGTCTCTGTATTCTCGAATCCAATAGAGTTTAGGCTTTTTAAAGTAAAGCAGAGTACTAGCCTAAGCCTAAAAGGGGGCGGGGCCAGAAGGCCGCCTTTTATACGCCCCTTTGCCATTGGACTCAACTTTGAACTCAATTATCTTGGCATCAAGCTGTCCAATCGGAATCATTTTTGTACCAATCGATAGAGAAAGACTTGGCGAATCTGATGAGACTAAGCATGTTGAAATCGAGCAAACCAACACCAAGATAATTGAGCTCAAAGTTAGATTGCAAATGGGAAAAATGGGCGGGGCTTTGGACTCAAGTTTCTTCTTGTTGGACTAAGCAATCTAGATAGTTTTTGTACCAATCGATAGAGGATGACTTGCTGCATCTAATGATATCAAAAACTATTCAATTGAACAGCTCAACACCGAGATAAGTGTGCTCAAAGTTAGATTGCTAATGGCAAAATGGGCGGGGCTTTAAAGCCAAATTTCTTCTTGTTGGACTGAGCAATCTCTTCTTTCTAGGCATCAGAGGAATGGATGTCAGCTCGACGTGAGGCTTTATCTGAAGTAGTCGGTGATGGGAGACGGTTAGCTGACACAGGAAGAATGGAGCTGGATACACATCGAGCAATCGAGGAGCTAGATAACGTTATTGATACAGCCAATGAGGTAGAAAGATCGAAAAATCGTTTTATTATGTGGTCCAGCTATGTCCAGAGCTGCCTACCGTAGTCCAGCTGTGTACAGAGCTGCCTACCGTAGTCCAGCTATGTCCAGAGCTGCCTACCGTAGTCCAGCTGTGTACAGAGCTGCCTAACGTAGTCCAGCTATGTCCAGCTATGTCCAGCTATCTTGAAGTCATCAAAATTCCAGTTCGAATCGGAAATCGAGCGAAATCGAGGCGACGTCGATATAGCCATTGAGAAAAGCGAGGCGCTTCAGCGAGATCTACGGTAAGTAGTAGTTGCCTATCGTAGTCCAGCTGTGTCCAGAGCTGCCTACCGTAGTCCAGCTATGTAGCCAGCTACTGAATCCAGCTATGTCTAGAGCCAGCTACCGAATCCAGCTACAATAGCAGGCTACCCTGATCTCATGGTCCATCTAAGTCTGGGATTACGGTAGCTGAATCTATTGAATCTCTAGAGCCTATTGGATATCAGAAATTGGACATAAGCTATTGGCCATAAGCTATTGGTCATAAGCTATTGGACATAAGCTATTGGTCATAAGCTATTGGACATAAGCTATTGGTCATAAGCTATTGGTCATTAGCTATTGGACATAAGCCATAGTATAAGGCCTACGAATTTCAAATCCAGATCTCCAGATACTAAATCAATTTCTAGATTAATGAAAGACGTGATCGAGAGCCTTTCCAAGCGGAATCTTCAAGAGCCCGAGATCGTTCAGGTAAAGGAAAAGCTAAAACTATTGTACAGAGCTGCCTAACGTAGTCCAGCTGTGTACAGAGCTGCCTACCGTATCCCAGCTATGTACAGAGCTGCCTACCGTAGTCCAGCTATGTGGCCAGCTACCGAATCCAGCTACAATGGCTATTCTGATCTCAGCGTCCATCCTAAGTCTGGGATTTGTTTTTCCTTAAACAAATCACTTATCTAAACATTGAATAAGTCATTTTAGTAGCTTATAATCAATTTTAGGCAACGCGAAAAGATCTCTCGTCCAGAGATCCCCAACTTTGCTCTCTATCAAGGCGAGCTGCCGAGTTGCACGCATCACTGCCGGGCAGGTGAGCTAGTGTTGAACTTGTTCTGATTATCGTAGTCGATCATCGACTTCTCGTCGTTCAGCTAGGTCCAAAGCCAGCTAGGTCCAAAGCTAGCTAGGTCCAAAGCCAGCTAGGTCCAAAGCCAGCTAGGTCCAAAGCCAGCTAGGTCCAAAGCCAGCTAGGTCCAAAGCCAGCTAGGTCCAAAGCTAGCTAGGTCCAAAGCCAGCTAGGTCCAAAGCTAGCTAGGTCCAAAGCCAGCTAGGTTCAATCTAAACCTCACAAAAATCCTTTTCTTTTAGATCATCCGCTTCTCGTGACACTACTCTGGACGCTTTAAATCAAGGCCTTTCCTCATTAGAATCAATTCTCGCGGGATCTGACCGGAGAGAGAGATCGGGAAGAGACGAAGCGAAAGAGGAATTGGAGGAGTTGGAGACGAGCTTGAAGAACGAGAACGAGCTTCAAACGTCTCCTGATCGAACCTCGAGAAGTAGTGTGGGCAATTCGTTGGGTGAGTTGTTGGATTTCGGTTGAGTATAGGCTTAGACCAAGAGGAGATCTTAGCTGGATGGCCAGGAGCTAGAGCTGGATGGCCAGGAGCTAGAGCTGGATGGCCAGGAGCTAGAGCTGGATGGCCAGGAGCTAGAGCTGGATGGCCAGGAGCTAGAGCTGGATGGCCAGGAGCTAGAGCTGGATGGCCAGGAGCTAGAGCTGGATGGCCAGGAGCTAGAGCTGGATGGCCAGGAGCTAGAGCTGGATGGCCAGGAGCTAGAGCTGGATGGCCAGGAGCTAGAGCTGGATGGCCAAGGCCTAGAGCTGGATGGCCAAGGCCTAGAGCTGGATGGCCAGCGCCTGGAGCTGGATGGCCAAGGCCTAGAGCTGGATGGCCAGCAGCTAGAGCTGTAGATGGTGCTACTGTACTCTAGAAAGCAACTGGCGTCGATCGATCGTCGATTCTTGATCGCTCCAACTTTAAACACCTATTTCTAGCCATGGAAGTGATGTGCACGGATCAAGGGACAACCACCGAAGACGAGACGCTTTCAAGGGGAGAACAAGGCGACGCCGAGATCAAGGTTTGAGGCTTTGAGTGATCGTGAATCTCATTCTAATCGCTAATCTCACCCTTTACCCATTTCCGCTTTCTCTGCTAGTTTCAGCGAATCTTTTGACTTCAAACTGTCAATCGTTAGAACTGTCAACCTTTTGATAGTCTTGGAAAAATCATAGAGCTAAAGTAGGCCTAAACCTGGACAATAGGCCTAGACAGCACAGGAGCAAAGCAGCCAAGCAAAGGTCAGATACAGAGCCAGCCATAGCCAGAGCAGTCTCACTGGTTAACACTAGCTTGATCAAGCCTAGGCTTAGTCTCAGGCTTGGCTTAAGCTTGAGGTTTTTGGGTTCTGATAGGCTTGTTCCTGTTCTGAGTCTTGGTCTGATTCAAGCCAATCCAAGCCATCTGATTCAAGCCAATCCTAGTCTAGATCTAGCCCAAGCCACAGGACCAGTTCAAGCCAGGATTTGGTAATCGGACCAGAATTTAGTCAATAGATCAAGGTCAGGGTAGTCCAGGGTGGTCCAGGGCAATCCAGGGTTGTCAAGGGCCATCCAGGGCCATCCAGGGCAGTCCACGGCAGTCCAGAGCAGTCCAGGGCAGTCCAGGGCAGTTCAGGACAGTCCAGGGTAGTCCAAGGCAGTCCAGGGTCATCCAGGGTTGTCTAGGGCCATCTAGGGCCATCCAGGGCAGTCCAAGGCAGTCCAGAGCAGTCCAGGGCAGTTCAGGACAGTCCAGGGCAGTCCAGGGCAGTCCATGGCAGTCCATGGCAGTCCAGGGCAGTCCAGGGCAGTCCAAGACAGTCCAAGACAGTCCAAGACAGTCCAAGACAGTCCAAGACAGTCTAGGGCAGTCCAGGGGTCCTGAACCGAGGTCTAATCAGATCCTGGTCTGGTCTTTGCTCTGGTCAACCCTCACCCTAGTCTGACCAGCTGTCTGGCCTTGTTCTTGGCCTTGGCTCGTGCTGATCCGGCTTAGTTTCGCTTGAACTAGTCCGGATTTAGGCTCAGGCTCAGGCTCAGGCTCAGGCTCAGGCTCAGGCTCAGGCTCAGGCTCAGGCTCAGGCTTAGGCTTACAATCGACTCCTTTTGACAAGAGTTAAGCCATTTCAGTATGCCAACTTGCTAGTTTCTTTTGAATCCACAAATTTTGGGTACAGGTTGACGCGGATCGTCGCACAGAGTCAATCGACGTTCCGATTGAGTTCGTGGATGCGGCAAGGATCAAGCCGATCACTTTGGGAGTGGAGCTTGATGTTGCAGAGGTGGGAGGGAATAGAAGCACTGCAGAAGAAGCACTCAGCACTGGTGTAGACGATTTTACAATACTGAAAGCACCCAGCACTGCAATGAGACCGATGGACGATGTTGCAGTAGCCGGAGAAGCACTTAGCACTACTGTGGGTGGCGTAGAGTCTTCAGGAGTCTTCAGGATCACCCGGGAGTCTCCAGGATCTCCAGGATCTCCAGGATCTCCAGGATCTCCAGGATCTCCAGGATCTCTAGGATCTCCAGGATCTCCAGGAGCTCCAGGATCTCCCTCAGCACATCCAGGCACTACTGTACGTCTCACAGCACGTCCAGGCACTACTGTACACGTTGTAGATGATTCTCCAGTGATGCTAGAGGAAGCTAGGCTACTCCAGTCTCATTCAAAGATCCCAAAACCGATCTCGACAAGTTTAACCCCGTGGAATCGCTTTTTAGATGATGAAGCAAGTGATTCAGACGCTTTAAGTACTGTACTTGAAGTAGAAGAAGAGATCTCAGTCAATGAGCTTCTGGAAACTCCTATTCAAGCTGATTTCAAGGCTGTAAATGAACCGAAGCCAGAGCCAGAGCTAGAGCTAGAGCTAGAGCCAAAGCCAGAGCCAGAGCCAGAGCCAGAGCTAGAGCTAGAGCCAGTCTTGGAAACAATGTCACTGTCGAGAAGGGAGAGAAGAGAGGGAGCACCGGAGCCAAGACCGGAGCCAAGACCGGAGCCAGAACCGGAGCCAAGACCGGAGCCAAGACCGGAGCCAGAACCGGAGCCAAGACCGGAGTCAAGACATCGACTTGATGGTTTAGATTGGGTAACTGAACCAAATGACATTGTTGAAGGTGCTGAAAATGAAGCAATTGCAAGCAAAGAGTCTACAATTGCAAGCAACGACTCTACAATTGCAGGCAAAGAGCCTTCAATTGCTGGCATTGTTGAGATCAATCGGGTAACTGAACACGATGATGATGATGAAAGTATAAAGCTTAAAGTGGTCAGTGAGATTGTGATGACAGATCAAACTCCGACTGAGCTTTTCACCGAGAGTTTCATTCGAACACCGTCACCCCGTCCAGAGACACCGATTACGGTAACAATGCCGAGGATTAGAGCAAGTAGTGAACTTGGGCTGAGTAGAGAAGCGGATTTGGTGGAAAGGGCTGCAATTGTTCAAATTGAACAAAGAACAGGCTTAGAAGAAGCTCAGGCTCAGGATCAGGCTGAGGATCAGGATCGGAATCAAGCTCAGGTTCAGGATCAGGATCAGGTCCAGCCTCAGGTTCAGGCTCAGGCTCAAGATCAGGTTCAGGCCCAGGCTCAGGATCAGGCTCAAGATCAGGATCAGGCTCAGTCACAAGATGAGGTCCAGGCTCAGGCTAAGGCTCAGACTCAGGATCAGGCTGAGGATCAGGCTCAAGATCAGGCTCAGGTTCAGGATCAAGTCCAGCCTCAGGATCAAGATCATGATCAGTCCCAGGCTCAGGCACAAGATGAGGATCAGGCTCGGGCGCAGGCTCAGGTCCAGGCTCAGTCACAAGATGAGGTCCAGGTCCAGGGTCAAGATCAGGCTCAGGTCCAGACCCAGGCCCAGGATCAGAATCAAGATCAGGCTCTGGCCCAGGATCAGGCACAAGATGAGGATCAGGCGCAGGCTCGTGCTCAGGCCCAGCCCCAGGCCCAGGCCCAGCCTCAGGCCCAGCCCCAGGCCCAGCCCCAGGCCCAGGCCCAGGATCAGGTTCAGTCTCAGTCTCAGGCTCAGGCCCAGATTGAGATTACGGCAGAAAAAGCAAAACAACCTTTACTACCAGAATCGAGAAAACTTCAGTCAAGCAAATCCGATATTTTCCCAAAAACTCAACAAAAACCTCAAATTAAGCAGAAATCTTTCGATTGGATACTAAAATTCGATGAAGGGGAAATGATTTTCGAGAGAGGGGAAAGTTTAGAAGAGTGGACGAAGAGCACAACACCGGTCGATCAACAATCGGGGTTGCATGGAGGCAAAGTTGCGCAAGTGAGCGCCGAGACTTCAGCAGGTCCTCGAGAACGGAAAGTTGAGTCTTCGGGAAATTTGAGTCTAGAGAATAGAAATGAATCAGTTGGGCTTCGGGAAGTTGAGCGAGTGAATCGGGGTGAGGCTGGAGTTCAGTCTGGAGTTCGGAAAGCGAATGAGTTCAATCAGGATCAGCCTCAGGCTAAGGCTAGAGATCGAGGACAAGCTGCGGAATTGAATCGAGAGGCTTCAGAAGTTGGGGAATTGAATCGAGAGACTCTAGAAGGTATCCGAGTTCAAGAAGTTGGGAAATTGAAGCAGGAAAGGCAAGAAGTGGATCAAGGACTGGAACAAGGAATGGAACAGGTAGCGGACCAAGTAGCGGACCAAGGACTGGAACAAGTAGGGGACCAAGGACCGGGCCAAAGACCGGACCAAGTATCGGACCAAGGACTGGAACAAGTAGCGGATCAAGGACTGGAACAAGTAGCGGAACAAGGGCCGGGCCAAAGACCGGACCAAGGACTGGAACAAGGACTGGAACAAGTACCGGAGCAAGTACCGGACCAAGTACCGGACCAAGGACCGGATCAAGTACCGGATCAAGCACCGGAGCAAGTACCGGACCAAAGACCAGAACAAGTACCGGACCAAGGACCAGAACAAGTACCGGATCAAGTACAAAACCAAGTACAGGAACAAGTACAGGACCTGGAACAGGTTCTAGAATCAACTCAAGGTACAGAACCGGATCAAGTCCAAGAACAAGTACTGGGCCAAGTACAGGATCAAGTACCGGACCAGGTAGAGGACCTGGTCCAAGTTCAAGACCAATTACAGCTTCAAATACTGGACCAGGCTCAGGACCAAGTACTGGATCAAGTACTGGATCAAAGACCGGACCAGATACCGGACAAAGTCCAAGACAAAGTCCAAGACAAAGTCCAAGTCCAAGCCCAGGATCAAGCCCAGAATCAAGCACTTGCTCCAGAATCAATCCAAGCCACAGTACCACCTGGGGACACCTCTATGATCCCGAAAGAGTCATTCGAAGGAGATGACGGATCACTGTCAGTCATTCACTACGAAGATAACCTCTTTCCAATCAGTGAGCCGGAGAATGAGAACGTTTTGGGCACAGTCGTTAAACCGTTGCCACCATTGGAGGGATCGGCTAGCTTTGCGACAAGAGAGTTGAGGAAACGAGACGGTGGAGGGGCTATTGTACAAGCAGATCAAGGTTTAGAAGGTGCTGGAGGTCAAGAAAGTGCAGTAACTGTAGGCCAAGAAGATTCTAGAGATCCTGGTACTGTAGACGAAGGTACAGGGGATCCAGAGAGCCCAGAAAGTGCTTCAGTTACAGTAGCAGAGGGTTTAGCAAGGCAAGAGGACCCTACAGAAGGCCCTAGTGGTCCAGGAAGGCCTACAGAAGGCCCTAGTGGTCCAAGAAGACCTACAGAAGGCCCTAGTGGTCCAGGAAGGCCTACAGAAGGCCCTATCGATCCAGGAAGGCCTACAGAAGGCCCTATCGATCCAGGAAGGCCTACAGAAGGCCCTATCGATCCAGGAAGACCTACAGAAGACCCTAGTGGTCCAAGAAGACCTACAGAAGGCCCTATCGGTCCAAAAAGGCCAGTTGAAGAGCCTAGAATCATAGAATCCGGAAAATTAGTTGAGGATCAAGCTCTAGCAACAAGCCGAAAGGGTACCCAAGCTCCTAAAGGACTCTTGGCCGGATCAGTGCCAGCATTTGAGCCATTGGACCAGCCAGATCAGCCAATGGACCAGCCAGACTGCCCTTACCCAGTCTACCAAATCGATCGCTCGGCAAGTTTAGATTCGAATTCGGAGCCTTTATCAAAATACGAAACCCCGCCGGAGTCAATGAAGGATTTACGGGATTTCAGTGAATCCAGTGAATCTACGTCGAGATCCGAGAATTCTCGAAAAACTAGGGACGAGCTGACGCCGATGCCCGAGAGGATTGAGATGTTGAGGATTGGAGGAGCTGCGGTGCCCGTGTATGCAGTGGAGGATGTGGATAGGATGGAAGAAGGCTTAGAGGGGGCTAGAGGAGGCACTGGAGAGGCTGGACAAGCTCTAGCTCCAGGACTGGAGTCTGGACAAGCTCTAGGTTCAAGACTGGAGTCTGGAGAGGCTCCAGCGGAGTCTGGACAAGCTCTAGGTTCAAGACTGGAGTCTGGACAGGCTCTAGCTCCAAGACTGGAGTCTGGACAAGCTCTAGGTTCAAGACTGGAGTCTGGACAAGCTCTAGCTTCAAGACTGGAGTCTGAACAAGCTCTAGCTTCAAGACTGGAGTCTGGACAAGCTCCAGCGGAGTCTGGACAGGCCCTAGAACCAGCATCTGGTCCAGAAGCTACAAGAATAAACCCTGAACAAGCTCCACCTACAACTTTAAACCCTGTAGATGAAGAAGAAGCTCTCATTCTAACGGCTGAACCCTCCTCCGAACCCCCAGCCTTGCTAGAAGTCCGAATCGAGCATATCCGACCTGGAGAGGACACACATGTGGTACAAAGAAGATATAAGAGGCCTGTTCAAAGCAATCTTAATGAAACAAACACAATTGATCCAGAATCGTTGCAAGAGCTACTGGAGAGTGATTTGGGTACCGGAAATCGGAAATCGGAAAGCTTAGAAGGGATCGTGGAGCCAGTTCTGAGTACAGTAAGCCAGCCAGCGTCTCCAATAGAAGCTATAGGTCCTAAGGATGAGCCTAGTGCCCAGGAGCAGCCTAGGGACCAGGCCCAGGGTCAGCCTAGTGCCCAGGAGCAGCCTAGGGACCAGGCCCAGGGTCAGCCTAGTGCCCAGAAGAAGCCTAAGGATCAGGCTCAGTCCCAGAAAAGCCAAGAACAAGTCCAGACTATCCAGGAGCCACTCGGAAGCGAAGAGTCAAGATTCCAGGGTGCAAATGCTCCAGCTGAACCCAGCCAGACTCAACCTGGGCCTCAACCCAGCCAAGCTCAGCCTAAGACCCAAGAGCCAGTTATCCAGGGCCCACCCAAGGCTCAGGGCCCACCCAAGGCCCAAGCTCACCCACCAGCTCAGAGCCACAGCGCCCCACAACTCCAAGAAGCTGAAGTTCGTCCGCCAGTGCCCAAACACGGTTTCGCGTCCGTCTCACACTTCAAGGTGATCAGAATGGATCAGTTATAGCTGTTTAGAATGTCCAGAGTACCCTGGTTAGCTAATTATATTATCTAGAGTACAGTACGGTGCAGTACAGTACAGTACAGTACAGTACGGTACAGTACAGTACGGTGCAGTACAGTACAGTGCATTCACCATCTTTCATCTCATTTGCTTTGGCTGTGCACTCAATTGCATGCTTTTCTCGCACCTTATCCTTTAGCTTTGTTTGGCTGTATAGTACAGTACAGTACCGAGTACAGTAAAGTACCGAGTACAGTACAGTACCGAGTACAGTAAAGTACCGAGTACAGTACAGTACCGAGTACAGTACAGTACCGAGTACAGTACAGTACGGAGTACAGTAAAGTACCGAGTACAGTACAGTACCGAGTACAGTACAGTACCGAGTACAGTAAAGTACCAAGTACAGTACTCGGTATACTGTATCGACTTTAGATATGGTAGAAATTTAGCTAATAATCTGCGAATTTCAGTCGGAAACGGACTCCCGCGAGAACACGCCAATCAAGAAACAATCACTGGCAAAAGAGGAATCAATGGAGACGGTGAGGGAGATATTTGGGAGTTCGATTACGGCAGACACAGAGGCTCAGGCTCAGGCTAAGCTTAGGCTACCTTATCCTAGGCTGCCTTGTATACGCCGGCTTATATACGCCGTCTTATATGGCAGGAATTGGTAGCAAGCTGTGCCGGGTAGGGCTGTAGGGTTTGACTGTAGGCTGCTAAGGGTACAATTAGCCTATAGAGTGCGGTAGTCTCATAAGCTGATAGACTACGGTAGTCAAATACTATGGAATACGGTAGCCGACAGCCTAAGCACAGCAAATAAACTATTGGATATGGTAGTCTAATAGAGATACGGAAGTTATGAGTGCACAATTACAAAGAATTCCAAGCCTAGCAAACTAAAACTTATGCAAATCGGCTTACGCGGAACCTGGCGCTGAGAGACAGACGGACAGACGAACGGACGGGCAGACAGACTGACAGAGAGGCAGACAGACGGACAGGCAGACAGACAGATGAACAGACAGATGAACAGACAGACAGACGGACAGAGAGGCAGACGAACGGACAGGCAGACAGACAGACGAACAGACGAACAGACAGACCGGCGGACGGACGGACGGACAGACAGACGGACAGACAGACAAACAGACAGACAGACGGACGGACAGACGGACAGACAGACAAACAGACAGACAAACAGACAGACAGACGGACGGAGAGACGGACAGACAGACGGACAGACAGACAAACAGACAGACAGACGGACGGACAGACGGACAGAGAGACAGACAGACGGACGGACAGACGGACAGACGGACAGACAGACAAACAGACAGACAAACAGACAGACAGACGGACGGAGAGACGGACAGACAGACGGACAGACAGACAAACAGACAGACAGACGGACGGACAGACGGACAGAGAGACAGACAGACGAACGGACAGACAGACAGAGGGACGGACAGACGGACAGACAGACAGACATACCCTTCTCTTTTACATATAATAAATACCGTCACCGTTTTAGAAACCCGAGCCAAAGCGTTCCCGGGCGGAATCAGCGACGAAACACTCGAAAATCGCGTCGATGAGTATGGAAGAGGTGAATAGTTTAAATCTAAATAGATAATTTTAGATAATATCTAGATATAGTTAAAATTTAAGGTTTACGAGCTATTGGACAATATTGAAGACGGTTTATCGTTCGAGGAGGAGTACCCGCTGGAGAACGTGGACCACGATGATAAAGAGTATAAGGTGGGGAATGACTCTGGAGTGATCTGGAGTGATCTGGAGTGACTCTGGAGGGATCTGGAGTGATCTGGAGTGACTCTGGAGTGATCTGGAGTGATCTGGATGTAAAATGATGTAGATAACTGTACTAGATGGCTAGATCTAGTACGGCTATCTAGATTATCTAATCTAGATGGCCTAGAAAATCGAGATTCTCTAAATATTTCGATATTTAGCTATTTAGATAGGTTTTATTTAGAAACTAGAAAAATAAAAAAATAATAAACTGAAAATCGATCTAGATAAACAATTTGAATGGAAAGACTTTTTCAGGAGATGCACAAGCAGCTTGATGAGGCTGCGAGAGCGCTAGATGTAAATCAAATGGAGCTGAACATGATGCAAGTAAGGGATTACAAGCTAGACAGTGCTTACAACACTTGTATTGCTTTATTACAGTACCCGGGAACCTGGGAGAGATATTAGAAAGTTTTAGACCGAAGAAAGTACTAAAGAAAAGGTTCTAGAAAGGTTTAGAAGGTTCTAGGAAGGTTCTGAAGGTTCTAGGAAGGTTCTGAAGGTTCTAGGAAGGTTCTGAAGGTTCTAGGAAGGTTCTGAAGGTTCTAGGAAGGTTCTGAAGGTTCTAGGAAGGTTTAGAAGGCTCTAGGAAGGCTTAGAAGGTTCTGAAGGTTCTAGAAAGGTTTAGAAGGTTCTAGGAAGGTTCTGAAGGTTCTAGAAAGGTTTAGAAGGTTCTAGGAAGGTTCTGAAGGTTCTAGGAAGGTTTGAAGGTTCTAGGAAGGTTTTGAAGGTTCTAGGAAGGTTCTGAAGGTTCTAGGAAGGTTCTGAAGGTTCTAGGAAGGTTCTGAAGGTTCTAGGAAGGTTCTGAAGGTTCTAGGAAGGTTCTGAAGGTTCTAGGAAGGTTCTGAAGGTTCTAGGAAGGTTCTGAAGGTTCTAGGAAGGTTCTGAAGGTTCTAGGAAGGTTCTGAAGGTTCTAGGAAGGTTCTGAAGGTTCTAGGAAGGTTCTGAAGGTTCTAGGAAGGTTCTGAAGGTTCTAGGAAGGTTCTGAAGGTTCTAGGAAGGTTCTGAAGGTTCTAGGAAGGTTTAGAAGGCTCTAGGAAGGCTTAGAAGGTTCTGAAGGTTCTAGAAAGGTTTAGAAGGTTCTAGGAAGGTTCTAAGAAGGTTCTGAAGGTTCTAGGAAGGTTCTGAAGAACAAAAGTGTTGTTGGAATTGATTTTGTAGAAAGATTGTTGACCTTTCTAATGAAGAAATTGGTGAATTTGTTATTTCTGAAGAGCTTTTAAATGAAATATCTTAACTTAACGATCACAACCTCTAGTACTACAGGGACTGCAGGCAACTCTGGAACTACAGGCACTGCAGGCAGCTCTAGTACTACAGGCTCCTCAAGTACTACAGTCACCTCTAGTTAAAGATTTCATGGTTCAAATTTAGATCTTATTCAAAGCTGACTCTAGTTCATTTGCAAGCAAGCCAATAAAAATTCTAGGCTGAGCACACAAAAGAACGAATTGATTCCCTGAGAAAAGATGTAGAGGAAAGGAAGCGAAAATCTCATGACGAGAGAAAAGAATGGCACGATTTCTCAAAGGTAAAGCACTTGGAAGATCGCTTGAGATCTATGAGTGATCTATGAATGATCTATGAATAATCTATGAATGATTTCAGTGCCTAGTGGAAGCTGAGCGTCTCTTCCAAAAGGGAGTCCGACTCAGCGGCGAATTCGAGCGGAAATACGAGAGTGGAGACAGGGATTCGACGAAAGCCAAGGAATTGCTCGAGAGGATTTTGAGGGTGATTAGTAAATTGGAGCTTACTTGTCGAGAGCTTAGCTCCTTTTGGAAGCGATTGATTTAAATAGTATTTTGGTTTTAGCTTATCTGGAACGCACACTAAAACCTGTAGCAATCAGATTTTTGATTTACCCAAATTAAACTTTATGCTAGTTGTGCTGCGAAACTGACCCTCTAGATTTCAGTGGGAATTTGTTGCAATCAAATCAAAACTGTTTCAGTTTTAGCTTATCTGGAACGCACACTAAAACCTGTAGCAATCAGATCTTTGATTTACCCAAATTAAACTTTATGCTAGTTGTGCTGCGAAACTGACCCTCTAGATTTCAGTGGGAATTTGTTGCAATCAAATCAAAACTGTTTCAGTTTTAGCTTATCTGGAACGCACACTAAAACCTGTAGCAATCAGATCTTTGATTTACCCAAATTAAACTTTATGCTAGTTGTGCTGCGAAACTGACCCTCTAGATTTCAGTGGGAATTTGTTGCAATCAAATCAAAACTGTTTCAGTTTTAGCTTATCTGGAACGCACACTAAAACCTGTAGCAATCAGATCTTTGATTTACCCAAATTAAACTTTATGCTAGTTGTGCTGCGAAACTGACCCTCTAGATTTCAGTGGGAATTTGTTGCAATCAAATCAAAACTGTTTCAGTTTTAGCTTATCTGGAACGCACACTAAAACCTGTAGCAATCAGATTTTTGATTTACCCAAATTGAAATTGTACTCTGATGCTGCAGAACCTTGTCGAGAGCTCAACTCCTTTTTGAAGCGATCGATTTAAAAACTGTTTCAGTTTTAGCTTATCTGGAACGCACACTAGCATATGCAGCATAACGCACATGATATTCAAATAGATAAAAATAAAGATAAGGGTAATTTTGGGTAATAGTGGCAGATTTTGGGTAAAAGTGGCAGATTTTAAAAAAAAGGACTTCATTCTGAATTCCAAACGAAACCCCAAGTACTCCATTCGGAATTCTAGACGATGAATCGCTCCGAAGTAGCTGTTTGTGAGGTTGTGCGTCGAGTGGCCGGGGTTTTACCGAGAATGCGTGAAGGTGGGAAAAGAGAGACTGACACGAGGACCACTGTATATTCTTTGGATCAACGATTCGCTGAATGGAGTAGAAAGGTTCGTGTACTGGGCTTAGGCTTGGTAGGCTTGGTAGGCTTAGCTGGCCTAGCAGGCTTGGCAGGCTTAGCAGGCTTGGCAAGCTTAGCAGGCTAAGCAGGCTTGGCAAGCTTAGCAGGCTTAGCAGGCTTGGCAGGCTTAGCAGGCTTGACAGGCTTGGTAGGCTTGGCAGGCTTAGCAGGCTTGATAGGCTTAGCTGGCCTAGCAGGCTTGGCAGGCTTAGCAAGCTCGGCAGGCTTAGCAGGCTTGGCAGGCTTGTCAGGCTTAGCAGGCTTGACAGGCATGGTAGGCTTGACAGGCTTAGCAGGCTTAGCTGGCTTAGCAGGCTTAGCAAGCTTGGCAGGCTTGACGGCAGACTTTCCAGGCTCGCGTCCTTTTGGACAAATCGGCTGTGGATGTTGAGGCGCTGAAATATCAGCTGAATGGCATCAAGAATTGGTGTGATTTGGTGGAAACCGAACTGGGTGAACCGGTGCATTGGGCACATTTAGAAATGGTCGAAGAGCAGAAAGAGAAGGTCAGTTGAGTACCTAACCGAATTCGTGAGTCTCCAGAATTCCCCGCCACACTCTAAAGTCAATTTAAAGCCACAGCTTTTTCAGCTTCTCTTCTTTCAGCTCCTCTTCTTTCAGATTCTCTTCTTTCATCAAAATCTCTTTTAGTTATCCAAGCGTCTCTCCGAAATGGCAGTTCATCGTGCTTCAATGTCTCACGTTGAATCGTGCAAGGATCGTCTCGTTCTTTTGCCAACTGTCGATCAAGAGATTAAGCACGAGATGAGAAGAGCTGTCTCCGATGCTGCAAGAAGATTGGCTGATGTGAGTGATTTGGCTGGTTTCTTAAAGTAAAAATCCCAGAAGCACGTATTCTTTGTGCTTTCTTTTTGAAAACCTTCTGTGACATCCAGATTGACCATTCCGTTTTTGAAACAATCACTTTGTTCCAGAATATGCCAAATTACGGTCAGCCACTGTCCGGTTCAGTTACCCAATCAGGCCAAAATGCCTAAATCGGAAATTTATCTTTCTCAAAAGCTGTTGTGACATCCAGATTGGCCATTTTGTATTTGAAACAATCACTTTAAAACAAACAAACAAACAAACCAGTGGCCTCCGTCCGGTTCAATTACCCAATAATGTCAAAATCGAATCGATTTTCAATTTTTCCATTTTTATCTCATAGTGTGCGTTCCAGATAAGATCAAATTATGCTAATTTTTACGAATTTCCAAAGAAAATCGTGATTTCAGGCCACGATCTCGGTTTAGTTCCCCAATTTCGCTAAATCGAATCAGTTTTGAATTTTGCTAGCTCTATCTCATAGTGTGCGTTCCAGATCAGATAAAAAACATGCAAATTATTTGAATTTCTTTAGAAATTCGGGATTTTTGACCTCGATCTCGATTCAGTCACCCAATTTCTTCAAAATCGCTTCTAATCTCTCACAGAAACATCGAATTTCGACAAATTGGGATTTTTTCGCAATACGGAGCCTAAGCTCGTATCAAAAATGTTTTATTTAACGATCCCTCCCAATTAGAATCGAAATTGAGATTTTTTGGAGTGTAATATGAAGTGATCGAGTGTTTGATGTGGGAAAAGGGGGCACCAATCAGCCATTAGCCTCACAAAGGGACACCCTTAGGCCAAACAGCTGACCCAGCTGACCCAGCACGACAGTTTTGGGTCAAAAATTGAACCAAAACTTTTGCCAGCTTATTTCCTCATGTATTTCCCAGTTAACAGGGATTTTTTCACGTAAAAACACCCCATCTGGAAGGCACACTTTCGTTTGAGTGCACCAGATTGGGTGAGTTTCCGAATTTTTCTCAGCTAACTATTTGCTTCAGTGTACTTTGTGCGTTCTCTGTGCTCTCGCGTAAACGCTCGCTTTCTAGCGAACGGATTATCGGTCCTTCCCGAGGGTGTTCTTTGCGAGCACCAGGAAACGCTCGCTTCCTGGCGCATCGTTTTACTCAGCTTTATTTGCTTCAGTGTACTTTGTGCGTTCTCTGTGCTCTCGCGTAAACGCTCGCTTTCTGGCGAACGGATTCTGGGGCCTTTGCGAGCACAGGGAAGCGCTCGCAACCTGGTGCATCGTTTTACTCATCTTACTAGGGCTTCAGTGTACTTTGTGCGTTCTCTGTGCTCTGGCGTAATCGCTTGCTTTCTGGCGAACGGATTATCATGTCCTTCCCGAGGGTGTTCTTTGCGAGCACCGGGAAACGCTCGCATCCTGGTGCATCGTTTTTCCTGTCCTTCTTTAGGGTGTTCTTTGTGCGTTCTCTGTACGTCCCCATAAACGCGCACTTTCTAGCACACTGCCGGTTTAGTTACCCAATTTCTTCAAAGCCATCTGGATTTTCATTTTTTTCGTTGGATTTCATAGTGTGCGTTCCAGATGGGGGAAAATTATGCAAATTATTCGAATTTCTTTAGAAAAACCTGGGTTTTTGGCCTTGGTCTCGGTTCAGTTACGCAATTTCTTCAAAACCGTCTGGATCGTCATTTGTATAGTTGGAGCTCATAGTGTGCGTTCCAGATCAAAGGAAACTATGGAAACTATACAAGTTCCTATAGAAAAATCCGGGTTTCTGGCCTTGGTCTCGGTTCAGTCACTCAATTTCGCTAAAACGAATCAGTTTTCAATTTTGCTAGTTCTATCTCATAGTGTGCGTTCCAGATCAGTTAAAAAACATGCAAATTATTTGAATTTCTCTAGAAATTCGTGATTTGTCCTGTCCTTCTCTGTCCTGCCCTTCCCCCTTGTTTAACTAAAGTGTTGGACTGTCTGTCAACAAGAGAACTTCATTTTCAGATCCGTTCCGATCTCTCGGATCGTGTGCGTGGCTTGGACGAGATGAAAGTGAAAGCGGAAGAGGTTTGGAGAGAAGTTGAGACTCTCGAACAAATGGCAAAAGAGGTCAGTCCTACAACTGAAAGCCATGACTCCAATTCCAACTAATAACCTTTTTTCTTTAGGACTTAGGGGCTCAAGGCTTTTCCTACATCTAGGGCTCAGGACAAAAGAATTTCGCAAAGAAATTGGCGACAAGCGGAGTCGAACCAGGGTGCCTTGGCGCCGAAACCAAGCTCGCTAACCACTCGGCTATGAAGAAAAGTACCTAAATTAATAAAATAATTATCTGAATTTATCCTGTGCGTTCCAGGACGTTCCAGAACGTCTTTAGTTAGGCTCTAGCTTCACTCTATCCCTAAATATTGCGTCGTTCTCAGTTCGAAGCGATTATACGTAATTGGCTAGTCAGATAATTCTGTTTTCAACTTTTTATCCCTATCTGGATATCATTCTATCTTTCTGATTGATTAGAAAGATTAGAAATTGATATATAAAAAAATTTGATTTAAATTTGATAAAATATAGTGATAGTCGACTGATTAAGAGCTTAAATCACTCTTTCACTCTTTCTTGATGTTAAGTAGATAGTACGGATTACGGTAGAAGCTTTAAACAATCGAATTGTTACTGAGGATGTCACAAAGAATGTCACAAATTTCTAGATCGAGCGTCGAGTTGAGGCGACAAAAGAGGCGGTGATCTATACGCCGTCTCGGGAAAGCACGGCTTCTGTCAAAGTCTGGAGAACTTTAGAAAGCTTTTAAAAGCCTTTAGAAAGCTTTTAAGAGCTTATATTATAGCCAAAGCCAAAGCCAGCTTTTATTTTCTTTTTTTCCAGAATGATGCCGCTGATTTGCGACAAGCGGTTAATAAATTGGAGAAAATTTTGGAAAACGCTGAGAAAGATCGTCCAAATATGTTGGAAAAGCATAAAAAGGTTCGGAATTGAAAGAAATGGATATAGATAGAGATCTAGATATAGATAGAGATCTAGATATAGATAGAGATCTGGAGCTGGAGCTGGTTCCAGACCTGGTTCTGGATCTAGATCTGAATCTGGATCTGGATCTAGTTTTGGTTCTGGGTATAGAGCTGGATCTGGATCTAGATATAGATCTCTAGATAAAGCTAGATCTAGATAAAGCTAGATTTCTAGATATACATGTAAATACTGTAATAGTAACCCATTGCCATAATGACGGCGCGGAGTGTTGCGTGGTCTAGTTTTTGAACGAGGTTTTTCTCGACACTGGTTTATGCTACAATGCGCGTTTAGGTATTAAAAAATAGCTGAAATTCAGGGCTATTTTTTGATACCTAAACGCGCATTGTAGCATAAACCAGTGTCGAGAAAAACATCGTTTATCTAGATATAGAGATCTCTGGATATAGATAGATCTCTAGATGATGCTAGATCTCTAGATAAAGCTAGATCTCTAGATAAATCTAGAGGTCTAGATAAAGCTAGATCTCTAGATAAAGCTAGAACTCTAGATAAAGCTAGATCTCTAGATAAAGCTAGATCTCTAGATAAATCTAGATCTCTGGATAAAGCTAGATCTCTAGATGATGCTAGATCTCTAGATAAAGCTAGATCTCTAGTTAAATCTAGATCTCTAGTTAAATCTAGATCTCTAGATAAAGCTAGATCTCTAGATAAAGCTAGATCTCTAGTTAAATCTAGATCTCTAGATAAATCTAGATTTCTATAGATCCCTATCTTTATCTTTAAATATCTACTAGATTCTAAAATCTACTAGATTTAAATCAAATCAAATTCCCCTATCATTCCCCTATCAAATCAATTCCCGAATCTCTTAGTCTCAAACTCTCGTTTAGAAAATCTCTGCCGTAATCTCGATCTCGAGGAACGCCGCGTCGGCAGCCGACTCGTTAGTGCTTCGGGAAAGTGTGGGTTTTGTTGAGGAGGATTTTATTTTGAAAAAGATTTTGATTGAATTTCTTGGAATTGATTGGCCCATGGGCTTTAATAGAGAGAGAGAGATAGGGTTTTATTTTCATAAACTAAATCATCTGCACGCCTTATTTTATCCATTTACAGTCCTCCGCTCAAGAGTCCTCTGAAATGAGCCTCTCGACGGTGATCGAGGTTTCCGAGAGATCCGAGAGATCTGAGAGATCCGAATTGACGGCCCAGCATCGACCAGGCTCAAGCATTTCGGCTGAAGGTAAGCACATCAAGTTTAGGACTGTTCTGGCTTCATTGATCTGGTTCTGGATCTTCTAGAAGCTAGGTTTAAGCCTAGCTTTGTTGCCTGGTCTACCCTGGGTCCACAGATGGGCCCTAGGTCCACAGATGGCGACCCTGGGTCTACAGATGGGTCCTAGGTCTACAGATGGGCCCTAGGTCTACAGATGGGCCCTGGATCCACAGATGAGCCCTAGGTCTACAGATGGGGCCCTAGGTCTACAGATGGGGCCCTGGGTCTACAGATGGGCCCTAGGTCTACAGATGAGGGCCCTAGGTCCACAGATGGGCCCTAGGTCCACAGATGGGCCCTAGGTCTACAGATAGGGGTTCTGGGTCCACAGATGGGCCCTGGGTCTACAGATGAGGGCCCTAGGTCCACAGATGGGCCCTAGGTCCAAAGATGGGCCCTAGGTCTACAGATGGGGCTCTGGGTCCACAGATGGGCCCTGGGTCAACAGATGGGCCCCTGGGTCCACTATTCCTAATTATCTAGCTCTAGGCACGCTTGATGCTCCATCGGATCGAGTGGAATCACTGCACGATGAGGTGCACACATCGGATGAGGATGAGAGCACGGAGAGATCGCATCGACAAAGGATTTCAGCAACCGGATCGCATTCAGCAGCCGGCCCACCATTACCCGACCATGTTTGTGCAGAGATACCCCTTCTCATCCTCCCTTCCGATACAACCCTTCAAATTCTAGGGTCTCCTCCCACCGCGTGACCAACACGCAATGCAAACGTTGACTCAACTTGGGCTATGGCTTGGAGAAGTGGAAAGAGACGCGGGAATGGCTGTTGATTTGGCTTCTCATCAAAAGATTAAGGAACAGATCAACACTTTGCAGGTATGGATGTAAGCCTGAAGCGATAGCCTGTAATGGCTCAAGTTCTTGGATTGGATCTAGCCCTGAGTCTAGGCCTGTGCTCAGGAGTTGTAGCTAGACCAAGCTAGGTCTTTGAAGAGCCCAACACCAAGATATTTGATTCAAAGTTAGATTGTCAATGGAAAAAGGGCTCAGACTCAGGCTGAGGCTTAGACTGGACCCTAGACATAACCTGTTTAGCGTTTCCAGGCCAGGTTTATACCCGGGACTTAGTCTTTCTTGATCTAAGATTCTAAGTCAAACCAGGAACTTGAACGATCTAAGTCAGAGTCCTAATCCGAGTGAGGATTCTAAGCCTAAGCCTAAGCCGAAGCCGAAGCCTAAGCCTGAGCCTGAGCCGAAGCCTAAGCCTAAGCCTAAGCCGAAGAAGAAGCCTGAGCCTGAGCCGAAGCCTAAGCCTAAGCCTAAGCCGAAGACGAAGCCTGAGCCTGAGCCGAAGCCTAAGCCTAAGCCTAAGCCGAAGACGAAGCCTAAGCCTGAGCCGAAGCCTAAGCCTAAGCCTAAACCTAACTCTAGTCCTAACCAGACTAGTCCTAGCCCTAAGGCTCTACGTCATACCAGTCTACAAACTGAACCTAGCTTCTTGAAACAATCCCGACCTACAACCCCTCCTACAACAATCTCAACAATTCCTTTCCAATCTCTTTTCAGACCCTTCAAGAGCAACTCCGGCAACGCCAAATGGAGCCAATAAACGTTTCTGATGGAACGATGACGTCTGTGGTGAAGCAACGGGTAGGAGAATGGATCAAGAATTGTTCAAGAATTGTTCAAGATCAAGAATTGTTCAAGTTCAAGAAGAAGAACTGAGTTTCCAGGCAGCTGATCTGTGCACAAGCATTGAACGAGTCAGCGCGGCTAGTCAAAAACGAAGGGCACATTTGGGAAAAGCGGTGGAAACGGCGAAATGGTTAGAGCAAACGAGAGGTGGAGTCGAGTTGTGGATGGCTGGAGCTGAGGAGGATTTTGGTGAGGAGATTTGAGAATAATGGCTTGGATTGTAGGCAATAGGAATCATTGGCTTGGCTTGGCTAGGCTTGGCTAGGCTTGGCTAGGCTTGGCTAGGCTAGGCTTGGCTAGGCTTGCCGTTGATCATTGGCAATCTTGACTTACTCAATTTCCAGGCACCCGTGCACCAATGGAGTCCAATGAAGAGACGGTGAGGGCCGAGCTGAGCCGAGTAGAGTCAATCCTTGAGCAGTTACCCCAACAGAAGCAAAAGATTCACGAAATCAATATAAAGGTAATTGGAAATTGACTTGTCTAGCTATTTATCTTTCAGGGAAATGCTTTGTTGGACGAGTTCCCAAGAGACGAAGCTCACAATTTGTCTCATCTTCTTTCCCGTTTGAACATGCGATGGACTCAGTTCAACGATAAGTCAGTGCATTGAATTGTAAGAGAAATATTTGACTTGATAGCGATTAGGTTTTGAAGCTGCAGATGGCTTAGGCTCAGCGACCTGAGCCTGAGCCTAAGCCTAAACCTAAGCCTAAGCCTGAGCCTGAGCCTAAGCCTGAGCCTAAGTCTAAGCCTGAGCCTGAGCCTAAGCCTGAGCCTAAGTCTAAGCCTGAGCCTGAGCCTAAGCCTGAGCCTAAGTCTAAGCCTGAGCCTGAGCCTAAGCCTGAGCCTAAGTCTAAGCCTGAGCCTGAGCCTAAGCCTGAGCCTAAGTCTAAGCCTGAGCCTGAGCCTAAGCCTGAGCCTAAGTCTAAGCCTGAGCCTGAGCCTAAGCCTGAGCCTAAGCCTGAGCCTAAGCCTGAGCCTGAGCCTGAGCCTAAGCCTGAGCCTAAGCCTGAGCCTAAGCCTGAGCCTAAGCCTGAGCCTAAGCCTGAGCCTAAGCCTGAGCCTGAGCCATCAAAGGTTCTAGATCTGCAGCGTTGAGACTGTTCCAGGAAATGCGAATCTTTTAGCTCAGATCTACAGCTAGCAGAAGTGTTTAGACTATTCCAAGCTTGGCCTTGGCCTCAGCCATGTTCCAGGGCATTCAGGGCAAAAGATATTGGACTATTGTTGTGCTTGTAGACGTCTTTGATTCCCCCAAAGATTCCCAAAGATTGCGTCTGCCAAAAGCATCGACAAACATTTTCATCTTTTAGTATTCGTATCCGCCGAGCCGCTCTCGAGGCATCACTCCGATCGAGAGCCGATTTTCATTCGGCGCTAGCGGAAGTCGAGGAATGGATGCACCGGATTACTGCCAGTTTGCAGGTGAAGAGAAATAAAGCCCGACTTTTCTACCGTACTCCGTCAACGTTTAGTCAGATTACCAAAACTAGAGCATGCTTTAATGCTCGAATTAGCATTTCAAGCATTTCAAAGAGTTCTCAAGAGTCACTAGACCCTTTATGAAGTACGATAGTTTTGATTCACAAGGGAAAAGCATCGAGTCAAGCTGGCTACCTCTAAAAACAACAGCAACAACAACAACAACAACAACAACAACAACAAACGAATCGTTGATCGTCAAACAAAAGCCAGCTTGTGCTTTTCTCTTGTCAGAATTGAAAACTATATTAGTTAACAGTTTGATTTCTTTAAAAATCTTTTTTTCTAGAAACTCGAGAAACGCACGAGCAACACTCAATCGTTGAAGGACACGCAAAGGAGGAGAGAGTGGATACAAGCTGAGAAGGTATTGGGGGAGAAGCTGGCTGGGTAGCTGGCTGAGTAGCTGGCTGGATAGCTGGTTGGGTAGCTGGTTGGGTAGCTGGTTGGGTAGCTGGCTGGATAGCTGGCTGGGTAGCTGGTTGGGTAGCTGGTTGGGTAGCTGGTTGGGTAGCTGGTTGGGTAGCTGGCTGGATAGCTGGCTGGGTAGCTGGCCGGGTACGGGTAGCTGGCTGGCTGGGCAAGCTGGCTGGCTGGGCAGACCCTAAGCCCAGCCAGCCTACCCAGGAATAAGCCAGCTGAAAAACCAATTGCTATTGATAATTGCATTAATTGCAGAACCTCGGCCACGAGATCGACGCCCATTCGGAAGTGATTCGATCAGTAGAAGAGATGGGGAAGAAAATCGTGGCCGGCTTTGATACAGGAAAGGATAAACAGGTGAGTACAGTAAACAGGTGAGACAAAGGAAAGGATTGACGGTAACTAAACGGACGAAATGGATTGTGTGATTACATCTTTTTTTCCATCTAGCTGTAATGTTTGTAGGCACTTAGCCTATTCACACGATGAATCATTTCCCCAGTCCCCATTTCCGATTAGCTCTTTCTCATTCTCTTTTTTGTGTTCTTTTTGTTCAAAAAAAGGGTAAAGGATCAGAAATTTGCATAGAATTTTTCAAACAAAAAAAAAACGTACAGCTGCGGTATTTTTTTTTGTCGCAAAACTTGCCTTTTCTTTCTTTTTAAAGTCCAATAGGCTTTGTGAATTCCAGAATTTTGATTTCTTTTCATTTCATTTCATTTTAGACAATGGAAGATCGATTGAATGATTTGGAAACGAGATGGACGGGCATCACGCAGACACAGGCTGAAATCAGGTCTGTAATGTGGCTAATGTTGTCTCTAGCTACTCTATCTACTCTAGCTTGTTGTAGGCTAGGCTAGGCTCTAGCTAGGCTAGGCTCTAGCTAGGCTAGGCTCTAGCTAGGCTAGGCTCTAGCTAGGCTAGGCTCTAGCTAGGCTAGGCTCTAGCTAGGCTAGGCTCTAGCTAGGCTAGGCTCTAGCTAGGCTAGGCTCTAGCTAGGCTAGGCTCTAGCTAGGCTAGGCTCTAGCTAGGCTAGGCTAGGCTTGGCTAGGCTACGCAAAGCTACGCAAATCAGGTCTCTAATGTAGCACACAGGCTGAAATCAGGTCTGTAATGTAGCTACAGTGTTCCCGATTTACTCTAGCTTGTTGTAGGCTAGGCTAGGCTAGGCTAGGCTACGCAAATCCGTCTAAATTCGACTAGAAAAAGCCTGTGCTAGCCCGATTCGCTAAAATTTAGTTTTATAAGGAAAAGACAAGGGAATTCCTTTAAGCTGCTATACCATTTGACACAGAATTTGAAGCTGATTCCGAATCTATATTCCGTTTTTGCTAAATGATAATCTATCAAGAGTTATAAGCGTCTAAAGTTCTGGACTCTGACCCTGTGGTCATTTGGGTCTTAACGGCCTTCTAGCAGGCTTTAACAGGCTTTAGCAGGCTTTAGCAGGCTTTAGCGGCCTTCTAACAGGCTTTAGCAGGCTTTAACAGGCTTTAGCAGGCTCTAGCGGCCTTCTAGCAAACTTTAGCAAACTTTAGCGGCCTTCTAGCGGCCTTCTAGCAGGCTTTTAATCAATTTGAAACTCTAGGAAGCGGCTGGCCGATGCGGAGCAAGAGTGGGAACGATTGACGAACGGGTTGGCCGAGTTGGTTCACTGGATTGAGACAAAGAGTAAACAGGTTGGAATAGATAAATTGATCTAGATTTCTAGCTAGATCTGGCTCTAGATCTGGCTCTAGATCTAGAGCCAAAGCTAGATCTCTAGCTAGCTCTAGATCTAGAGCCAGGGCTGGATCTCTAGCTAGCTCTAGATCTAGAGAGAGAGCTGGATCCCTAGCTAGCTCTAGATCTAGAGCCAGAGCTAGATCTCTAGCTAGCTCTAGATCTAGAGACAGAGCTGGATCTCTAGCTAGCTCTAGATCTCTAGATCCAGCTACAGACCCTCTAATCTATCTAGATAACTCTACAAATTTCAAAATCCATTTCCAGCTCCTCAACCAGCAACCCATTGGCGGCTCGTTGTCGGCGGTGCTGGCACAGGGTGGTTTCGTAAAGAATATAGAGAGGTTCGTTAGATAAAATACTGTAAAGAGCACTGTATCGTACTTTGTGTGGAGTACCTTAGTTCTTCGCGCTGTGCAAACGCATCCATCTGGCCCACAAATCCTCTTTGCAGAGAAATCGAGGCGAAATCCCCGCAAGTGAAAGAAGTGATCGCCTCGGCGCATTCCTATTTGATGCAACATGATTTACGGCCGAAAATGTACAAACCCGGAGTGCTAGACGACGGAGAAGAGGAGGCGGAGAGTGAGTTTTGAAGTTTGAGCACAGTTTGAGCACAGTTTGAGCTTTTTGATTCTCTACAACTTTCCCATTGACACCGAAATGGATTTCTTTTAAAGAAAGTCCTCAAACTGTGACAATAGCCGGCAGTTTCCAATTCACCAACCCAATAGTTTAGGATATGATTTTTTTTAAAGAAAGACCCGTTTCCTAACAACCATTGGCCCTAGTGACATCCAGATCGAGGGATTAGCTGAAAATTTTTGACATTGAGCAGACCAGAACCAGGATCAAGTCAGGGTCAGGGTAGGGTGGAAAAGTCTGATCCTAAGCTTAGCTTTTTGAGTTAAAATCTCATTCTTAAAACCTAAAGTGACATCCAGATTGATAGAAAAACGGTTGAGATCGAGCTTGGGGCAAAGCCAGACCGAGATCAAGCCAGGGTCAGGGTAGAGTGGTAGCCTGATTCTAGGCTTAGCTTTTTAAGTTCAAATCTTATTCCCAAAACCTAAAGTGACATCCAGATTGATAGAAAAACGGTTGAGATCGAGCTTGGGGCAAAGCTAGACCGAGATCAAGCCAGGGTCGGGGTAGGGTGGAAAAGTCTGATCCTAAGCTTAGCTTTTTGAGTTCAAATTTCATTCCCAAAACCTAGAGTGACATCCAGATTGATAGAAAAACGGTTGAGATAGAGCTAGAGTTGAGATAGAGCCGAAGCCAGATCAGGATCAAGCCAGGGTCAGAGTAGAGTGGATATTCCTGATGCTGACAATCGCTTTTTAACTTCAAATCTTATTCCGAATCTTCTTTTACACAACCTTTCACATAGTAAACTCGACCTAGAGAAAGGCGGCTAAGCAAAAGCAAAAGAGGAAAAGGAGATGATTGGGTGAATATCTTGAAATGAGCAAAAGGAAGCAAGAGGAAAAGGAAAACAAAAAGAAAACAAAGAGAAAACAAAGAGAAACAAAGAGAAAAGCTGAGGAAATGGAAGACAATCAAGTTATAGCTTTGGCTAAACCAAATTCTCTGCCCAAGCGTCTTGTCTTACTATTAAACATTGCAAAATTGTACCTTTACTTCAACCAGCTGATCTTCTCTTTGCCCTTTACTTGAATACTTTTTAAAATTGAATTTGAATTGAGTTTGAATTGAGTTTGAATTGAGTTCGAATTCTATTGAATTCCACACTTAGATTTTAAGTGTCCACACTTCCACACTCTGCGATCTCCCAAAAACCAGACTAGCTTAGTGGCAAACTTTTCGAATGGGTTTGGTAATTACCTTCTTGTGTAATTAATCTGGTAATTACTTTCCTAGGCTTCCAGGAACCAACCCAAGTAGATTTGAATTGATCGAGGCTTGGAGTTCTGCCAGTGCCATCTTTGAAGGCCTTGATGGCTATAGGCTTAGGCTTAGGCTTAGGCTTAGGCTTAGGCTTAGGCTTAGGCTTAGGCTTAGGCTTAGGCTTAGGCTTAGGCTTAGGCTGTATAGGCTTAGGCTTAGGCTGTAGGCTTTGAATGGCTCGTCGTCGGCTGATTGAGGATCGGCTTGAAAAAATTTCGTCTTACCAGAACATAGGCACAATCTTCAACTTCTCCAGACATTCCTTTGTCGATTCGCTTTTCTCGGCACGGTGTTGATCCCAAACAGCGAGTTCCATTTCATTCAAATTCCATTTCATTCAAAAATCCAAGTCCACTAGCGTCTCAATTATTGATCTCTTACTTTCTCTTCTCTTTCTGGAGGAGGAGGAGGAGGAGGAGGAGGAGGAGGGGGGAGGAGGAGAATGGAGGGAAGCTGGAGAAGGTGGGATACCATTAGAGGGGATGGGGGATAGTACCATTAGAAGAACGGAAAAGGTGCATAGAGGGGATCCAATTACAGTAGATAGTTCTTTTTCCCAATGCCCTTCAAGCTTTGACACAAAAAGTGCTTTTGCACAAAGAGCTTTAATTCAAAAACTGTTTTCAGCGAAAGACATGGACGAGCGCCGCTACGGACTGCAGATTCACGCGGATTGCGAGAAGTTGAAGGTAGTTTGAAAACCTAGAAGGCTTTTTTACCTAGAAGGCTTTGTTTCAGGAAAAATGGTCCGAGCTAAGCGATCAAACGTCGGATTGGGGCAAAGTGGTGGCCGGAGCTGCACAACGGTTGCAAGAGCTCGAGCGAGCGCTGGCTGAGTGCCAATTGCATTTGAGGTGAGGGAACTTGATTGGTTTAATGGGATCTCAAAATCAAACTCAACCTCAACCTCAACCTCAACCAATCACAATCACAATCACAAAATCGTCCAAAAACGCATCAAGCCATCATCATCATCATCATCATCGGAGGAGGAGGAGGAGGAGGAGGAGTCATCAACGGAGGAGGAGGAGGACTCATCATCATCAACGGAGGAGGAGGAGTCATCATCATCATCAATACCATGAGCTGGAAAATTTCCATTGAACCTAGAGCTTTAATTTTGTCAGATTTCCCAAGAGTGACATCCAGATAGTCCAATTTCGACAAAAAACTGAACCCTGATCGATCTAGTGCAGCGTATTCTAGCGAGACAAGGATTTTCCCCGTACACCAAATCGCCAAATCAGTTGCACACTTCTAAAACCTGCTAATTTTTACAGTGTGACATCCAGGAAGCACGATTTTTGCAAAAAGATTACCAAGATTTCATAAAATTCTGAAGAAATCGGTCCTAGAGAATCGAGGTACTCTTGCTTAAATTTTAAAAGTGAGATTAGGAGTTGTTTTCTTTAAAAATCTTTTACTGTGACATCCAGATAAGGAGATTCTTTTGTAAAATTCGCAAAATTATATGCTGGTCTTGAAAAAAAGCGCCCGGAAACGTTTTGGGTCCAAGATCGGCGTTTTTTGTTGTTTTTTTGAGGTCAAGATCTCTCTAATTCATCTATCTTTTCAGCTCGGTTGAGCAAGAGCTTGAGCAAGCGCGTGCTGTCGAGAATCTCCGATTGGAGGAGCTGAAAAACGCGCGGGTTGATGTGGATGCGATGAGCGATCGGGTTGATCAATTGCGGTAAGGGTGATTCGTGAAGTGAACTTGAAATCTGTTTAGAGTGCATTTGGACGATGCGAACGACGCTTGTGGAAGGATTTTAGCCGCCGATATGCCACTCGACACACATCCCAAAAATCAGCTCGATGCCGTCAATCAGAGGTGGGGAAAGCGAGCTTCATTTGAGTCCTAAAGACAATTAGCTTAGCATTCGAACAGCCGTAGCTATTCAATTCTATCCCTCCATGGATACAAGCCAGGCTCGAAGCTAGACTGACTTTGAGCTCTCAAGCTTCTATAGCTTCTATACCTATGATTTCCAGATTCACAGCCGTCAAGACGTCCGTACGGGTGCGTGCGGCTGCTCTCCGAAACGCTTTCAACGATTTCGGCCCCTCGTCCGAGCATTTTCTCAATCATTCCGTCACTTTGCCATGGCAGAGAGCGATCAGCAAAACGAATCATTTACCGTATTATATTGAGTGAGTTTTAGAGGGGAGACTGGAAATGCAGATTTTGGCCTGGACCTTGCCCTGGACCTGGCCCTTGTCCTCGACCTGAGCCTTGCCCTAGACCTGGACCTGGACCTGGAGCTGGACCTGGACCTGGACCTGGACCTGGACCTGGACCTGGACCTGGATCTGAGCCTTGTCCTGGACCTAGACCTGGACCTTGCCCTGGACCTGGACCTTGCCCTGGACCTGGACCTTGTCCTGGACCTGAGTCTTGTCCTGGACCTGAGTCTTGTCCTGGACCTAAGTCTTGTCCTGGACCTAGCCCTTGTCCTGGACCTGGACCTGGACCTGGATCTGAGCCTTCTCCTGGACCTAGACCTGGACCTTGTACTGGACCTGAGCCTTGTCCTGGACCTAGACCTTGTCCTGGACCTAGACCTGGACCTTGTACTGGATCTGAGCCTTGTCCTGGACCTAGACCTTGTCCTGGACCTGGACCTGGACCTGGAGCTGGACCTGAGCCGCGTCCCGTTTACCCCAACTTTCCCATTTTTCAGCCACAACACCGAGCACACCCAATGGGAGCACCCGGTTTGGGTGGAAATGGCCAAAGAGCTGAACTCGTTCAATCGCGTCAAATTCATCGCCTATCGATGCGCGATGAAGCTACGAGCCCTTCAGAAACGACTCTGCCTCGATCTCATCTCGTTGCCAATGCTCGAAAAGGTATTTCTGTTAAATAGGCCTTAATTATCTCGGCCTCATCAAATCCACGATCTTTTGTGCTCATTCCACTAAGGATCGGATGAGATTTTAGTCTTGGAGAAGCTCATCTGGATGTCACACTATAGGATTTTTATCTTTTCAATCTATTTGACAGTACTTCTCCAAACAGTACTTGACCGTCCACTTTTAGTGTTGATAAATAGCTGAAAATCAGAAAATTCCCAGCTTTTTAGCTGATCTGGATGTCACACTATAATATTTTAACATTTTTAACCGATTTACGATGGTTCACAGCTGGCCTAGTGGTAGTGGTCTCGACTCTGGGGCGAGCGACCCGGGTTCAACCCCCTGGCCAAATTTTATCAAAATATTATAGTGTGACATCCAGATCAGCTAATAATCTAGGAATTCTTTGATTTTCAGATGTTTATCAACACTAAAAGTGGATGATCAATAATCGGCCTTGATCGTCCACTTTTAGAGTTGATAAATTGCTGAAAATCAAAGAGTTCTCAAGCTATTAGCTGATCTGGATGTCACACTATAAAATTTTGATATTTTTATCCAAATCTACAATAGTTCACGGATGGCCTAGTGGTAGTGGTCTCGACTCCAAGGCGAGGGACCCGGGTTCGATCCCTGGTGCTGACTAGGGGGTCGAATTTTGGCCAAATTTTCCTTTTAAAGCGAATCGTCTACTAATTCTGATCTTTCCAGGCATTCGCGCGTCTCGATGGCCTCTCGAATGAGGAGTGCCCTCAATTGGATGAAATGGTTTCCTCTCTTCTTCCCCTTTTTGAATCCCTTCATCAACTCCATCCAACGCTCGTCAAATCCGTGGCTTTAGCCGTTGATCTGTGCATCAATTTCCTACTCAATTTGTACGATTCGTAAGTGTTTTATCAGCGTTTTATGAAGATAAGATTACTCTACCGTAGCCCATATAGTCTATAGTGATTTCCTAGACTCCTAGAGCTCTTCCTAGCCTCCTAGAATCCTTCCTAGCCTTCTAGAACTCTTCCTAGACTCCTAGAATCCTTCCTAGCCTCCTAGAGCTCTTCTTAGACTCCTAGAACTCTTCCTAGACTCCTTGGCTCCTTCCTAGCCTTCTAGAACTCTTCCTAGACTCCTAGAGCTCTTCCTAGCCTCCTAGAATCCTTCCTAGCGTCCTAGAACTCTTCCTAGACTCCTAGACTCCTTCCTAGACTCCTAGAACTCTTCCTAGACTCTTAGAGCCCTTCCTAGACTCCTAGAGCTCTTCCTAGACTCCTAGAACTCTTCCTAGACTCCTAGAACTCTTCCTAGCCTTCTAGAACTCTTCCTAGACTCCTAGAGTCCTTCCTAGACTCCTAGAATCCTTCCTAGACTCCTAGAACTCTTCCTAGACTCCTAGAGCTCTTCCTAGCCTTCTAGAGCTCTTCCTAGCTTCCTAGCCTCCTTCCCAGCTCCATTTTTGAATTCTAGCTCTCGTGACGGCATTCTCCGGGTTCTCTCCTTCAAAGTGGCGCTCATCGTCTTCTGCAATGCGCCTTTAGAGGAGAAATATCGCGGTAAAACTTTAATCTGTTACAATGCTCTAATCTGAATGCTTGATAAGTTTTGAATGCTTATTTGATATCCCAAATTTCAGCCCTCTTCGAGCTGGTCGCCCAGGAGGGACAAGCCGATCAGAAACACGTCGCTTTGTTGTTCTATGATCTCATTCATGTAAGAATCAGAAATTTATAAGAAATAGCTAGCCTGGCTCACTAGGAGAGCAATGTCCAGGTCCAGGTCAAGGTTCAGATCAAGGTCAAGGTCAAGGTCAAGACCCAGATCTAGGCCAAGGCTCAAATCCAGGTCAAGGCCAAGGCTGAGGTCAAGGCTAAGGCTCAGGTCCAAGTCAAGGTTCAGATCAGGACCAAGATCAAGGCCCAGATCCAGGCTAAGGCTCAGGTCCAGAACAAGGTCCAGGCTAAAATCCAGGTCCAGTCCTGGCCCACAGAAGTCCCTTGGCTGCCAGAAGCCAGAGGCCAAGCGACGTGAGTTCCTTGATAGCCAAAGCTGGCTTTACAGCAGGCTTACAATCTCTGGTAAAAACTGAGCTGGGCCGGAAAAGGGCGAGCCAGAGTCAGTCCTGGATCTGGTTTCTCCTAGAAGACCGAGGATAGACGGCTTGGTCTGGGCACTCTAGTGATTTATAGGCCCTAGTTTTTCAGGCTTGGACCTGGCTTGGACCTGGCTTGGACCTGGTTAAGGCTAACCAGTCTGGCTGGCAGCTTCTAGATCGATTTGGAACAATTCTTTAGACATCAGCTTTAGATTCCCCGCTTGGTGGGTGAGGCGGCGGCGTTTGGCGGCTCAAACGTGGAACCATCCGTTCGCTCGTGTTTCGAATCCGTCAAATTGGCATCACATATTCAGGTGTGAAGATGAAGAAATGAATTTCATAAAACTAAAGAACAAATCAGGGTCAAGATCAAGGCCAAGATCAGGCCAAGATCAAGGCCAAGATCCAGGCTAAGGCTCAGGTTCAGGACAAGGGTCAGATCCAGGCTAAGGCTCAGATTCAGGACAAGGTCCAGATCCAGGCTAAGGCTTAGGTTCAGGACAAGGTCCAGGCCAAGATCAAGGCCCAGATGCAGGCCAAGGCCCAGATCCAGGACAAGGCCCAGATCCAGGACAAGGCCCAGATCCAGGACAAGGCCCAGATCCAGGCCAAGGCTCAGGTTCAGTCCTGGCCCACAGAAGTTCCTTTGGCCTTTGGTCCTTTGGCTGCCAGAAGCCAGAGATCAGGCATCCCTTCAGAGCTTTGTAGCTCTTCGATTAGCTTAGTTCTTTAACTAGAAGCTTTAAAAGCAAAAACTAGGCCTAGTTTTCGATTCTCTTTAAAGAATCGCAGAAGCTGAAAAGTCGCTAGTCCAACTTTTTTCAATTTTAGTTCACCCCATTCATGGATTGGTTGAAGAAAGAGCCACAATCGCTTGTTTGGCTGCCCGTCATGCATCGTTTAGCCACCGCTGAGTTCTCGAAGCATCAGGTAAAGTAAAGAAAAACCGTAAACCCTACCGTAACCAAAGATCGGGATACGGTAGCTGGAGAGACTTTTGAACGATCACGGTAATCATTGAGGCTTTAGAGCTGCCAAGGAAACTGGCTAAGCTTAAGGGAAGTTCGGAGTTACGGCTTCTATTATAGTATTTACGGCGGTTATTACGGTAGTTATTACGGCGGTTATTACGGTATTTATCACGGCAATTATCACGGTAATTTCGCTAATCTCTGCTAATTGTTCAGGCGAAATGTAACGTTTGCAAAATGTTCCCAATCGTCGGCCTTCGCTATCGTTGTCTTCATTGCTTTAACTTTGACATTTGTCAAAATTGTTTCTTCTCTCAAAGGACGAGTAAAAATCATAAATTACGACACCCAATGCAAGAGTATTCAATTCCAGTGAGTTTTTTTTGAAATCTTTGAAATCTTTGAAATCTTTGAAATCTATATGTCGTAGCCGATTATGAATGAAATTTTTTTTGGTAAAATCTTTCTAGTAGAGCAATCCTTTAATGTATGAGGACAATATTATATGATCTTGTAGCGAATATTCAATTCTGCGTCGATTGCTACCAAATTTGTGAGTTTAGGTTAAAAATTGCCGGCGCTACAAACGTTTCATTCAAAATCGGCGGGACCCCCCCGTAGCCGATTATGAATGAGTGGGTCTAGGAGCGTCCAACCATCAAGTATTTTTTTTTTTTAAAAAAATACCGACTGGGGCTACCAGTGGTGAATTTATCGCATACACGAAATATATCAATCACAATACAACGACACACACAATACTAGGCTATATCTTAACTTAGCCCACGTCATGACAGACGGCTCCCTAACCCTAAGCTCAATGGGGAACTAAATAGCTTTTTTGGTGGTGAAGGGAAGATGACGATGAAGGCAGTGGCTTGTCACTTTAAAGTGACTGGGGCCACAACCACCAGACTGCCCTCCAGAAAAACCTCTCAACCCGAAGGGAAAGGAAATCCGAAGGGGGTGACCATGTCGCATGTGGGGTTCGAACCCTCGACCTTCCGATTAAGATAAAAGACACTTAACCAGTCAGCCATACGTGCGTATTTGGTATCATTCAACGCAGAATCATTAATAATTATGTTAAATTTTTTAAATTAGAAAGATTTGATAAAAAGAAAAAAAATTATGGGGCCTCAAAGTTTCCTCTTGAACAAACAGTTTTTTTGCTCTAATTTTTTTTTCTTTTTATCCAATCTTTCTAATTTTAAAAATTTAACATAATTATTAATGATTCTGCGTTGAATGATACCAAGTACTTGATGGTTGGACGCTCCTAGACCCACTCATTCATAATCGGCTACGACATATATATTATCTATTTGATTTATTGATAGTTTTTCTCTAGAGCTTCAGTATTCACTCAAAAACCAAATTCTCTTCTGCAGTGACTTCCAGCTCCGGAGCTGGAACACTGGAGCTCTGAATCTCTGGAATTGGAGCTACTAGAGCTCCGGAGCTCTGGAGCTGTAGCTACTAGAGCTCCGGAGCTCTGGAGCTGGAACTCTGGAGCGCTGGAGCTCTGGTTTGGCCTATTTTAGCTCTACCTACACTACTGGACAATGAAATATCATATTTGAAAATATCAATGAAAAACCGATCGTCACTTTCGCGTGTCTGTAACTCCTTTGTCTTTATCGTATTTCTAAATATTAATATTACCATTGTGTAGCCCTTGAAAAGAGCTTTCAGAAAATGTATAACACTAATAGTTTAAACTCAAAGACAAGGGAGTTACAGACGCGCGAAAGGGACGATCGTTTTTCAAATATGCTATTTCATTGTCCAGTACTGTATATATTATCTATTCAAGTATTTTATGTAAATTGAAAAGAAAGAGAAAGCAAAAGAAAGAGAGAAAGATAGAAAGAGAGAAAGATAGAAAGAGAGAAAGAGAGAAAGAGAGAAAGATAGAAAGAAAGAGAGAAAGATAGAAAATCGGATTTAAATCTTTCCTTCTAGACAACTTCTGGTGAGGATGTTCGCGATTTGCACAGATGCAACCGGCAAGTTGGGACGAAGACGAAAACGATTGGCTACTGCCGGTTGATGTACGTCGAACATTCTTTTCCATAAGCTTCTAAGAGCTTTTACATAAGCTTTCTGAGCTTAAAGTTAGCTTAGCAAAGGGGCGGGGCTAGAGAGCCTTTTATACGCGCCGCGCCCCTTTGCCATTGGATCCAACTTTAAACTCCAATATATCTCGGTGTTGAGCTGTTGAATTGAAAAGTTTTTTGATATCATTAGATGCGTCAAGTCTTTCTCTATCAATTCGTCCAAAAAAGTACCTAGATTGTACAGCTTAACAAGAAGAAATTTGAGTTTAAAGTTAGCTTAGCAAAAGGGGCGGAGCTAGAGAGGGCGCCTTTTATAGCAAAGGGGCGGAGCTAGAGGAGCGCCTTTTATTAGCAAAGGGGCGGAGCTAGAGAAATCACCTTTTATAGCAAAAGGGGCGGAGCTAGAGACATCGCCTTTTATATCGCTCCCCCCCTTTTCCCATTTCTAATTTTGAACTCGAAATTTCTCGGTGCTCGAGTGTCCAATTTGAATCATTTTTATACCAATCGATAGAGAAAAGCTTGGCGCATCTAATGATACCAAGAATGTTGAAATTGAGCAGACCAACACCGAGATATTTGAGCTCAAAGTTAGATTGCCAATGGGAAAAGGGGCGGGGTTTTAATTTATTTAAATTACACAACCAATTCCCCACCAACTTCAACCAAATAAGATCGAAAGCCCATTTCCCTCTTTTTAAAGAGTTTCATTCGTTTCCGGGTAAGACACTAGCACATTTCTACAGGTCGGTGACGAGGTATCCCGTTGGCGATGACCGCACCAGCAGCACAATCCGCACACGGTCGCGGTTCACTCACGAGTCGCCTCTTGTGCTCAACGAATCGCTCATCTCACACAGGTTTCACTACCAATAGACTCATACACTTGGCATTTCCCTCGTTAGCAAATAAATCTACAGGGTGTTCCAAAACAAAAGACAGTTTACTGCTAAGGTGAGGCCTGCTAGTGAGCCTGCTGGTCAGCGGCTGCTGGTGAGCTGCTAGTGAGCTGCTGGTGAGCCTCTGTGGCTGCTGAGTGAGCCTGCTAGTGAGCTGCTGGTGAGCCTGCTGGTGAGCCTGCTAGTGAGCCTGCTAGTGAGCCTGCTAGTGATCCAGTAGACTGTTTCCACAAAAGCTACCATAATCCAATCGACTTTTCACTTAAATTACCAAAATCTGCACAATCTAAATAACAATCCTAAACAATAACAATCCAGAGAACAGTAGCTTTTCAAAAGGTATCTTTTAGAATCATTTCCATTTCTTTTTATCTAGAGAAAGCTATAGTATTTCGGTATTCAGAGTTACCGGTAGCTTTCCCATAGCTTCTTAATCAATAGCTTTTTCTAACAACATTAAAATTCGTATGATTAAATCTATTTAGTCTAAAAATCTAAATCCTAAAAACCTATTTCACTAATTTTTACATCAAGAACCACCGTAATCTTCCGGAAATTTCAGAACGAAGCAGCTGAGCCACGAGAGGGAAATGATCAAGTCAGTGAGCGACGTGAAAGCCCCTGCAGTTGATCTCACGGGTGAAGTGAAGTTGAAGGATTGAGGCATGGTAACGTAGCAAAGCGAAATCCATAGCAAAAATCACAGCAAACGAAGCTTTAACCGGATTCCACAGCCGAATACCATAGCTTCAATAATCTTTACGTTTCGTTGACCATAATCTATGCAGCAGTGAAATCTGAACGTGTCAACAGGACGTCAAAATTACAGTAGTTCGCCTAGCTAATCAGCTAATCAGCTAAACAGCAAAACTACAGTAGTTCGCCTAGCTAATCAGCTAATGGCTTAAAGCATTGGCATCGATCCAAGAAACGCTTTAAATTTAGAATTCCAAGAGCTATCTGATTTCAAAAAGCTATCTGATTCCAAGGTAAAACGCTGGTTAAGAGCATCGCTTGAAGCTGCTTTTAAATCCTACATCTCAAAGCCTTCCAAAGTTTCGCCAAACAGTAGCTAACCTACTTAAAGCAACAACCTACTATAGCATCGTTCAGCTGACTGTTCAGCTATGCCACGAGTTCAGCTGAATATCTAAATATCTCAAATATCTAAATATCTAAATATCTAAATATCTAAATATCTAAATATCTTCATATCTAAATATCTTCATATCTAAATATCTTCATATCTAAATATCTAAACATCTGAATATCTAAATATCTAAATATCCAAACATCTAAACATCTAAACATCTGAATATCCTACATCGTCCAATAGCCACTAGAACTAAGCCTAAATAAATGCCGAATATTATCCAAGACAGAGATTTAGTTTTTTTTTTGGGGGGAAATTTTCCTACGGTGCTAGATATGGTCACCTTCAAGGTCATTTTCAGGATAAAACAAGAGAGAAAGCAGCGGACAAACAAAACATCAAATAAATTTTGGTTTTCTTGTCTTGAGATCAGAATTTTGAGTGGATAGGCTTTGCTTAATAGAATGCTTTCAGGTTGATCAAATGCAAAAGACGAGGAACTAGATCAAATGCTAAGCGATTGCAGCTAGAGAACTGTCGAGTTGAGCGAGAGTTGGAAGGAAAAGACACGCCGCACAGAGTACACCGATTTGGATAGGTGAGGAAGAGTCAGAATCACTAGTCTTTAACTAGCCAAAGGGCGAAAACAATCTTTGTGAGGTTGACAAAGAATCAGGACCAGAGTCTTAGATCAAGTCCAGTAGTACAAGCTTTGCTAGAGTACGAAGGCTTTGCCTGGACGGCTTACAGTGGCATTGATCCACAAGAAGTCAGACCTGAATCTAGTCTGGCTTGGTTTTATCGCAAGTTCCAGGCTTGGACCCGAGATATCCTGAATATCCTACATCATGGATTCTTGCGGAAATCCAGGATATGGCTAGGGTGGGCTCGCAAACTGCTGAAACGGTGCTGCACTTTCAGAACCATGCGGTGGAACGATCACCTCGACATCCGGGAAAACGCGGCTCGTGGTGGAACGCTGCCCACCGTTTAGGGGGCACATGGAGGTGCTGGCGGAGGAGGAGGACATGGACACGGGACGATCCGTCCCATCACTGCACAGCCAAGGAACCAATGATGTCGGGGTGGGTGGGAATTCTAAAAGAAGTCTTTACTGCAAATCCAGTCAGATTTAGACTAAGCCTGGCTTGCCAGCCAGCCTATTAATTTAGATCTAGCTCTGGATTTCCTAAAACCAAAAGTTTGGTCTAGACCCAGGTTTTGGTCCAAAAAGCCAGGGTTTGGTCTAGAACCAGGTTTGATCTAAAGCCAGGTTTGGTCTAGAACCAGGGTTAAACCGTCTAGCCAGAGCCAGATCCGAACAATCCTAATCTGGTACCCAGTGTCTATTCCTTAGAATCTAAGCTCTAATTTTTAGACCGGCGAAGAGGCTCGAAACTTTTACGTATGCACAAGCAACGCCTCGAGCATCGATCCCCCATTCTCGGCACCAACAAGAAGTCAACAATTGGAGATGCCGGTACAACGCTTGAAGAAGATGATAGAACAAGAAGTTTGTGGAAAAATTCACGAGAAAATCTTTCCAACAACGGAATCCCAATTTCAGCAACGCGGTCCACCTCCCGTCTTCCATCAATGTCAGCCGAACGCGATTGGCAACAAACCGGTGGACATGGTCCGATATTGAACCCAGGTAAAAGGAAGGGAAAATATCAAGCCCCAATGCACACAAATGGAAATGGTTGGATGAATCACCGGGAAGCTTTAGTATCCCAAATTTCAGGCCTTCCGCAGCTCCCAGCCGTCTCATCACAAGACTGGGAAAGTGACATGGAGCAAACGGATGTTCAAGGGCTAGGCCAGGGACCGACCAGGATGCACTCCTTCTAGCAACCGTCGACGATCTCGGAAGGTCGAGTTTTATCTGCAGAAGCTGGTCTGGATGTCACACTTTATGATTTTTCCTTTTTCAGCCTGATGGGACAATTGCTTATCGAATCAATCCACTTTTAGTATTGATAAATTGCTGAAAATCAGAAAATTCTCAGACTATTAGCTGATCTGGATGTCACCCTATAACATTTTTGATATTTTTATCAAATAATCCACAGCAGTTCATGGATGGCCTAGTGGTAGTGTGAAGATTCTCGACTCAGAAAGCAGAGGGACCCGGGTTGACCCCTGGCACTGGCTTGTAGCCCGCTGTAGCCTTTGCAGTATGTCATTTAAAGCAAATCGTCTATGCTAAGTCCGAAAATCACCCCACTTTTCCCCAATAATCATAAAGATTTTCAAAAAACAAAGGATTCTTCTTTGTGGTAGTAGAGTCACCAACAGCAAATTTTTCAGAGCCATGGAATCGCTCGTCGTTTCAGTCGTTTGCGACAGTGATCACGAAGCGGTAAAGGAACTGAGAGAAAAGCGAAAACATCCCCATTTTTATCAAAAAATCTCCAAAAAACGATCGATTTTTCACAAATTTTGCTCAGGATATACACCCTCTTTCCAATTTTTTTCCCAAAAGCTTGATTGCCTTATTAATGAAAGTACCATAAAAAAAATACCATTGTAATTTTGCGCAAAACTCTCAAAAAATTTTCGCATTTTGTGATATTCGATTGCCCAAGAAAAACGATATTTCTTCCCGAAAAAAAATACACAATAAATTTTCCATATTTATTTAAATGAATAAAGTTGAAATGGAGCAAATACAAAACAACATACAAAACAAACAAAGAATTTGGATCATTTACAAGTGTAAATTTCGAAGATTTTCCTTCTTTTCACTCACATCTTTTTTCCATTATTTTTCTCGTTTTTCCAATGCGTTTTCCAGTGGTGGATGGGTTGACGGGAAGGGAGGCTGAAAAAGAAAACTACCGTAAATGCTCTAATAAAAGGCCTACACCCTTCTGGTACAGTCGCGTAGTCTAGCTTCTTCTTAGGAAATCATTTTTCTCAGCCCCTAGATTTTTCCAACTATACTTTTACCAAACCAAAAATACTAGATCTTAAAGGCTATCATTTAACACCAAGCACACACTCCGTGCTCCTTTATGTAGCAGAAAGGAGCACGGAATAGAGCTTGCGATGTACGAGTTAGATTACGCGACTGTACGCCTGTCATCTCGTATGGGGAGTGACGTTCTATTTGAGTATTTACGGTAGGTTAAGGATTGAGGAAGATCAACGAGTTCTCATAGTTTCCCTTTGCAGCATCTCAAGACACAAAACATGACAACAATCTTAAGTTTTCATTTTAAAACGAGCAAAAAAATTTTCATTTTGAAACGAGCAAAAACCCTAACATTAAATTGTCTAAATATCAGAGAAACAAATAGCTCAAACCATTATAGCATCAAAAAAATGTAAAACTTTAAAGGTCTATATTCGGATTGAAGTGTTCGCCGTGCCAACGTGGGGTTTAGGGCTCAGTTGAAGGGCGTTATCTTGAAGTGCTATAGACATGATCACTACAAAATACAAACATAAACTACCAATACTTCCTAACTTGCTTCAAAGCTGACGGATTGACATGATCTCAGAAATCAAAACTAGAGAATATCAGAGCTTTCGAATGTGCTTACGCGCACACAAAAATATCAATGCTAAAGAAAGTTACGGTGGTTTGTAGTCACACAGCTCCAAGCAGACCGTACTCGCGCGTAGAGTCGAAGCGCTTCGTCCATTCGAAAGCTCTTGATATCTTCTATTTTTTGAGCTATAGATCATGTCAATCCGTCAGCTTTGAGCAAGTTAGAAGCGTTTTTAGTGTAACAGTTCGTCATTTTTTGTAGTTTCTAGTGCTCATGTCTAGTGTTATACCGGGGAAAACCTCAAGCTTTATCGCCAACCAAAAAGAAGTCAATTCTTCAAAACTTTTGTATAAAGAAACTTGATGAACTTGACTATTCATGGCTTACTCCAATAACCTAATTCTAACTAGCCTATTTTTGTGCAAGTTGTGCGACAGGAGCAGCAGTGGCAGTAGTAGTCTTCGTCGTCGCTTTCTTGATGTCGTCCCTCAGCCGAGCGTTTTGTCGCTGTTGTTCTTCTTTGCCGCTCCTCCGGCTAATCGACGAGGGCCGGTGCCACCAAGATGAGCGTTTACTGAGCCGGTTGGCTAACAGGTTGGGACTGCAAAAGCCGCCTCAACATCCATCGGCAGCGCGGCAGGGACTGAACCAGTAAAACTAAAAGGTTTGCAAAGTGAAATCTGCGAAGGCTCTCGACGTGCAACGGAAGGCACAGACGCGATAGCGTTTGCCCGTTTGGTCTGTTGGTCTGGGCTCACGCCGACATCAGCTGGCCACACGACTGGGGGGAGCAATCTGGAGAAAAAGAAATATGACAGTAATCAATCGTAGGGCTTATTTTAAGCTATCTAGTAGCGGCGTATCCTTACACAAATACCCACCCTTTGGTGTGACCAATCGCAGATTCCCGAAAAATACCCCGTCGCGTACTTTGTCATTTTGCTAAAAGACAACACAGATTATTGTATTCACAGAAAAACAGCTTATTGCTGCGCCAAAGAAAATCATGAAATGCCAAAATCACGCTCAAAATCTAGATATTCGATTTTTTGACGTGAGTTTCGGTGGC